ACTCTACCATGCTTATTCTCAAAAAAAATGAATGGAAAAATAACTCATCATTTTAGATGCTACTATAAAGACATTTTATTATTATTGCACAAAATTCTTAAACCTGTATTAAAATATCACAACACATTTTCACAAGTGTATATGCAGACCTGAGACACAAAGATAGACTTACTCAGGTCCCAAGATAGTCTTATTTTTATTACTAATTTAATTACCCTTTATTGCCTATAGGCAGGACAACCACTGTAAGATTATCCCAATCCAGTTTTTAAACCTTGGCTAAGCCTTCACTTGTACCAACCCAAGTCCCAACTTCCCCAGCCCCAAATCTAATAAACATAAATAGGTTTATTTATTTATTTATTTATTTATTTTGTTTATTTATACAAGCACTGGATACAGTCAGAAGTACAGGAGGGTGAGCGAATTCACCAAAGCCAGAGCGGGGAACAGAACAGGCAGAGTGATGAAGTACACTGCTGAGGGGAGCAGCGGGCAGCAGGAGAGGTCTACGCGCCATGTGGGACCCTCGCCCAGCGGCCAGGGATCGAACCAGCGCTGCAGAGGCTGCGGGCAGCTTTGCAACCCAGTGCTCAACCACTGCGCCACCAGGGAGGTCCTAAATGTAAATAGGTTTAAAGGAGACTGCATGGTCCTTTTCTCCAAGTGGGATACAAAGGGAAAAATTAAAGAATTACATATTCTTGAGACTAAAGAACAATCACCAGCTCCTTACAGGAAAAAGGGTGCAGAATCTGGAGTCAGAGACCCACATTTGAGTGTTAGTATCAAAACTTAATTTCCAATCTAGCTTGAGTCCTGAATCCTGCAGAGTCCACAGCTTCCTCTTCTGTTTGTGACTGTCACATACCAGCCACACATGGCTGGCCTAAGTAGTCAGACACCATATTTTTGAACACCTTATAGAGAGTGAGGTAAGATTATTTTATAGGATGTGAAAGACTTTCAAGCACACCATGTGAGTGCTGTGTGTGGATACTTAATAAGTTGTGACAGTTCTAGATGTTCTAGGGATTTTTATAAAAATAAAATAAGAACTGACATTTTATAAATCACCAGTTCTTACTGTAGTGCATATGACTCTCTAACATTTATTTTGCTACATATGTGATTACTGATTTTGTGTTTTATAATAGGCAGGTACCACTATTCACAGCTTTATCGTCCCATATATTTTTTCAGTTATAGAGGTTGAATAGCCTCTGGATTTAACTCTGCTAGATAGTCCACGGGCCACCCCTAAGGGATTTAAGTTCCTACTGAGCACAACTGTACATTCTCAGTCATTGGAAAGAAAAAAAAAAATCCATATCGAAGTAACAGGACAGAATTGGCTATTTTCTCATAAAACCCAATGTGCAAACAGATGATGACTCCATAGCTCATGAAGTCTTCTCTAAGCTTCAGACTCATATACCCAGCCGTCTGAGAGATAGCTCCACTTAGTTGTCTCATGGACACCTTAAACCCAACATGGCCAAAATCAACTCATCTCCTCTCTCCAGAACTTCCCTTCCCAAAGATGTTTCCTTTCTCAATAAACGGCACTGTCATCTCTCCAATTGCTCAAGTCAGTAATGTCAAAATCATCCTTGACTCCTTTCTCCTTCTAATCCTCTACCCACATCTAAACCTCAAGAACTGCTTACTCTACTTCCTAAAAAGCTCTCAAAATTATCCACTTTGTGCCATTTAGTTGCTACCACCCTAGCCCGAGCCACCCAATAGCTTAGCTGGACTTTCACAATAGCCTACTAAATGACCTGCTTGGGTTCACTCTGGCCCTTCTCCGACTGGTTCTTCACAAAGCAGCAACAACCCTCATGGCACACTGCATACAAGTCCACTTTTTCAAAACTCCTGTTTAATAGAGGCTGTAAAGGACTCCTATGATCCGGACCCTGACTACTTCTCTAACCTTGTTCTCCTCCTGCATTCTATGATTTACTAAACTATAAGACCATAAATATAAAAATTAAATATGGGGCCTCCCTGGTGGCACGAGGGGCTATCCGCAGCCACTATGAAGCTATCTGCAGCCACTGCAGCAGGAGTTCAATCCCCAGCCAGGGCGCTACCCACATGGCCCAGCAGACCACTCCTGTGTCGCCCGCTGCTCCCCTCAGCAGTGTATTTCAGTCAGTCTGCCTTTCTGTTCCCTGCTCTGTCTCTGGTGAATCCTCTCACCCTCCCACACATCTGGTCTATACCCCAGTTCTTGTATGCATGAATAAATAAATCTTTTTAAAAAATTCTAAAAAATAAATAAATAAAAATTATATAATTACAAGTATTCATAGGAAAGTATTTGCCTCTCCAATTTTAGGTTCTAGGGCCTCCCTGGTGGTGCATGGGGTTAAGACACAACCTATGAAGCTGTCCATAGCCTCTGCAGCACATGTTCAATCCCCTGGCCAGCCAGGGAGCTACCCACATGACGCAGCAGACCTCTCCCGACTCACCCACTGCTCCCCTCAGCAGTGTACTTCGGTCAATCTGCCTGTTCTGCTCCTCATTGTCTCTGGTGACTCCTCTCATCCTCCACACCTCTGGCCTGTACTCCAGCTCTTGTATGCATAAATAAATAAATCTTTTTTTAAAATGTAGGTTCTATAGGGATTTAAACAAAATATGTTCTTCAAAGATTTTTTTTTATGTGTATTTTGGAAAAGCTAGTTTTTGCCTCATGAAAATGGCATTGAGAATGTAAGCTTTTGCAGTAAGCCATAGAATACAAACCATTAAAAAAAATATAAAACGTACAAACCACATGTCAGCTATATGAGTCAAAATTTGCTAAATGCAACATAATATCTGCCCTCCTCTTCCTCAGTAATTAAATCCTGATTTTTGGCAGAATATATGGGCTTGGAATCAAAATCTTCCCCAGCCTCCTTTGCAGCTAAGTGTGACCATATGACTAGGTTTGGGCTAATGAGATGTGAACCACACCCTAAAGTGAAAGGGTGTGGCCCTCTCCTTCCCTTTTTCCTTTTCTGATGGTTGGAATGTGAAAAATGACAGCTGAGCGAGTCACTTGGGTTAAGTGGAAGGGACCTGTGGAGGAGGATACCACAAGGATAGCACAAAATAGATGGAGAAAGGTCCTTGAAAATTGTAACTGCCTGGACTGACTACCTAGACTTTCACTCAAGAGGCTTGTTTGTTTAAGCCACTGATGCACTGAAGTTTCCATTCCTTGAAGAAGCTTTTCTAACCCTAATAACATCATACCATTCTTCCAGGCTCTCTATTCTCTGGACTTATGCATGCAAGTCTCTCAGCCTGAAACACTGCTGCTACCTTCTGCTCCTTGTCTGCTTTCATCCTTCAAATCAGAACTAAAATGTTACTTTCTCAGATGGGTCTTCCCTTTTACTTGCTCTTTCCCTTCATACTCCCCTTACTTGTAATTACTGACCTAATGGTCTCTTCCAGTGCTACATTTTCTTTAAGACCAAGTAATAGCTTCTTGACCCTTTGGCTAAGATCAAGTATAGTATCTTTAAGTCCAAGTATCTGTTTTGTCCAAGGTCAACCAAGTTCTTGGCACTCAGTACTTGCCCAACAAATATTTGCTCACTGAACACATAAACAGTGTCATACTTCTTGAGTGATTTCTGGAACACACCTGGAGAACGTCTTGGCCTTACCTTATATTACAGGACCTGTGACTCTGGATTTAACTCTGTTACACAGACACTCTCACAATGTAAACACTTTCTCCCCATTCTCTTTTGGACAATTCTGAAATATACCAACCCCTTCAACAGATCTGCACAGCTCTTTCTGGCATGGCTTCGTTTTCTTATAACACTCCTAGATTTGGAGGGGAAAGTATTATATGCACTCTTGGGATTTTTCTTTAAATGGAAATCCTTCACTAACTAATATTACCGACATTTGCAGGGGCTGGGATTCCTTACAGGTATTTTTAGAGGAAGATAAAAGGAACATACCAACCACATTATCTGAAGAATTACATTCTTAGAATATTTTAAAAGCCTCTGGGTGAAAAGTATACATCACTTGTTACTGGTATCACAAGTACCTGTTAGTTTACTGCTTTATGTAGCAAGAATCTACATGACTTACTCATTTTCACAAATAAAGTACCTTTCAAACATGTGAAATTAAAGAAGTGAAGTCCCAAGAAGGATTGGCACATAAAAAACAAACAAACAACAAAAATTAAGATATCTCAGAGATAGTCTCAATTTTGCCAATGATTCCCTGGCCGACCCTGGATCAGCCCTCCTCTTCACTCTGCAATGAAGTGTTTAGTATAGTTAATTCCTAAGGCCTCTTCCAATGAAAGTATTTTGTTGCCACATAATTTTTTTTTGTTAATGATTTAGAAAATCTGCCCCAAACTACATAATTACAAGTATTCACAGGCAACCTGGTATTTGCCTATCAGTTTTAAGTTTTACAGGGGTTTAAATGAATCCAAAATGTGGTTCTTCAAAGATTTTTAAAATGTTTGTTGGAAAAGTTAGCTTTTGAACGTTAAATTTCCCAGTATGTTATTCTCTTGCCACATCTTTTCTCATGCCACATTCAGGCACCTACACTAGATTCAGAAGGTGCTCTGCAAAAATCCACTGGCCAATAAAACAGAAAGGTTTTCACTGCCACTCCCTTGATTCCTCCACCTCCTTTCCCTTAAACCGTTCTGGAAAATCCAGCGTCAGGCAACGGCGCGAAAGTCTGTACCACAACCTGCCAGTTCTTCAGAGCAAGGACGGCCTGGTCTAGTCTTTCCACGCCGCTAATAAAGGTTACCAAGATTCGCAGCCATCTCCAGGAGTGAGCAGGCTGGAAACGCCCGGTTGGGACCCAGAACCTACACGCTTCCATTCTCCGAACCTGCGGACCCCATCAGTTCCCGCCGGGCCTCCCCCAACCACCGCCCACCTCCTCACGCCCTTGGGGGCTAGCGCTCTAACCCAGCCCCGCAATCGCCCATCGACCCTGACCTCCTCGAACTGCTCGCCGGAGCAGCCAGCGCCACGAGCCTCCAGCAGCTCCCGGAACTGCTCCAGGGTGACGGACTCTTCGCCGCGGCCCAGTTGCTCCTCCAGCCAGCGCAACAGCGCTCCGTGGTGCCTGGACACCAGGGACTCGCAGGTCGGCCCGGGTCGCAGCGCAGCCGCCGCCTCTCGCAGTCGGGCCGGCTCCAGCAGCGCCGCGGGAGGCGGCAGCGCCGGGGCCACTGGGCCCGCGCCGAGGGTCGTCCCCGAGTCGGCAGCCCAGTCCTGGTGCGGGCTCCAGCCCTCACCCCCGGCGGCTGCCGCTTCGTCTTCGCTGCTGTAACTCGTAGCGTTCCCCATAGGGTCTCGGTCTCGGGCGCTCGGCTTTCTGCCGCCGCCGCCGCCTCCCCGCCTCGACCTGTCAACCTCCGACGGCACCCGGCGGGCGGGGACGGGGAGGGGACGGCGGCGGCGGCGGCTTCCGGCTTCCTCGCCGTCAAGGAGAATGGCTGTCGCAAAGGTGCCGTTAAGTAAACTCTGTCAACTCACGACAGCCAGCTAAGGACAGCCGCTCAACAGTGGAGCCCAGATGCCTAAGCGGGGAGCGTTTGTCATACGTCTACGTCATCCCGCAGCCTCCTTTGCCACCATCTTTGTTGGGGGCACGCAACACGCACACTGAGGAGGCTTTTCGCGGCTTCCCTTTCACGGCCTCCTTTCAGATGCAAAAGCTATGCTGAAAGTATGAGGAAGGGTAGGCGTTATGGAGTTAATTTTGCGCCAAAGACTTTTTTTCCTTTTCGGAGCTCTGTTTTCCTGAGTGACAGGCGGAAGAGGGGGAGAGCGGAGCGTCGCGTCGGTGGCGTCACGGACGGCGGCTCCGCCATCTTAGTTGTGGATGGAGAGGCGGCAACTTCGGGAGCGGCCGTCTAGATGCTGAGGCTCGGCGGCCTTGGGCTCTGGCTGGGCCTGGCCGTAGCGGCGGCGGCGGTGTTAACAGCGCGGCTGTTGGGCTGGTGGAGTCCCCGTGCTGGTATTCGCCTTTTCATACCCGAGGAGCTGGCCCGCTACCGCGGCGGCCCGAGGGACCCGGGCCTCTATTTGGCGTTGCTCGGCCGCGTCTACGATGTGTCCTCTGGCCGGAGGCACTACGAGCCTGGGGCCCACTATAGCGGCTTCGCAGGTATTAGCAAAGGGGCGCACGCCTTTTCCTGCTCTGACGCCGGCCCCCAGCCGCCTCCGCGTCATTCATACATTTATTTATGTACTCCCCCACCCCCATTTCATCAGTCCTGCGTGGGAGCTGGGTTCAACCACCATCCTTGTCAAGCACCACCCTTGTCTGTCTGACACCAGCGGGACGGTGACCTACTCTTATCGGTCTCTACCCTCCCTATACGTTTCCCTTTGGTTCCCCACCATTCCGTGTGACTTAGGTTCGAGAAACACTTTTCCAGCTTCTTGTTACCCACTACCCACTGTTAAGAAGCTTTCCAGTACCACCGTGTGGCTCTCAAAGCAGAAAGAGTAATGCGATGCTGTTCCAGGAACAGCATCTACCTTCTTATTCCAATCAGCTCTTTTTTTTTAAAGAAAAAAAAAAAATGAGATTAGGGCACCAGGAAGGTATCTGATCACTTCTGAATTTCATAAGTACTTGGAACAAATCTATGCAGCATGTTAGGCCTCAGATAACATTTGCCAGTGTTTGTTCTGCTGTTCCAATTTCCATCTGAAGGGAATGAAGGTTGTGATTTGCTTAAAGTCTTCACACTTAAATACTGACAGGACTTAGACCTGAGAGGACCAACAAAAACAGTCTATAACGTTTAGAGATGTTGTCTTAATTCACAGGAGAATGACTATCTCCTAGATTTAAAAAAGAAAAAAAAAGCCAAGTAAGAGTGAGACTATGACTAAGGCTACTATTAAATATCCATTTTCCACTTGTCATTTTGTTAGGGAAATTGGGAAGTTGCCTCTGGCACTTAAATTCAAGTCACTTCCCTGTCTCAAGGAAGAACTTCATAAATAGAAACTTCAACAGAGAAAGAATTAAGTTCTGCAGTGTTGTCAGACACCTCACATAGTCCATCAGGGGAAAGGACTTACCCAGGGCTCTACAGTGAATTATCAATAGAAGTAGAACTAGACCTGGAATCAAAGGTTTGTGTTTGTTGGTTTTTTTAACCCACCAGGTGAACACACTTTTGGTGCACTGTCCTGCCATACTCTGATACAGCTGTCATCACTATATTCACTTGTGAATATAGTGTTCTTTGATGCACAAATTTTAAAAATTTTTAGTTAAGTTTAAGTGTATTTTTTTTTTTGGTTGCTTGTGTTTTTGGTGTCATATCTAAGAAATCATTGTCTAATCCAAGGTCACAAAGATTTGCACCTGTATTTCCTTATAAGAGTTCTGTCGTTTACCTCATACTTTCAGGTAGTTGATCTATTTTGAATAATTTTGCATGTGGCTCTTCAGTTATCAGAGCGCTATTTGTGGAAAAGACTCTTCTTTCCCTTATTGAATTGTCTTGGCACCCTTATTGAAAATTGACTGTAGGGCCTCCCTGGTGGTGCAGGGGTTAAAGTCTCAGAGCTATCAAGCTATCACCAGCCACTGCAACAAGAGTTCAATTCCCCTGGGGGGAGCTAACCCACATGGTGCAGCAGACCTCTCCTGTCTTGCCAGCTGCTCTCTCAGCAGTGTATTTAAGTAAATCCACCTGCCTGCTCCCTGTCTCTAGTGAATCCTCTCACCCCCAACACCTCTGGCCTACAGCCCAGTTATTATATGTATAAATAAATAAATCTTTTTTAAAAAGAAAATTAATTGACTGTAAATGTATGGGTTTCATTCAATCAATATTATTGAGAATTTACTAAAGATCAGACACTGTACCAGTGTCTGAAGAATCAACATTAAAGAGTTTGTTGTGTTTTCTTCCCTGGTAAAGCTCACAGATTAGTAAAAAGACAGACATTAAATAATTACACATTTAAAAAAAGAAAGAAAATAATATTATATAAATAATCATTTTTGTGCGAGTTTTAAAAGGAAAGTGCACTGCTATTCTAGGCCCTCATCTAGTTAGGGAGGAGGAAAGTGTAAGGGCGCAGCATAGTGGGAAGGTGAAGTTGGTGGTAGCTGGCAAAGGGCCCTGCAGGGCGTGTTAAGGAATTTGGACAGTAGTTACTATAGAGAAAAAAGAAACCACTGAGAATTTTTAAGCTAGGGAATGTCCTTATCAACTTGTGTTTAAAAATTCAGTTTGGGACCTCCCCTGGTGGCTCAGGTGGCTGAGCGCAGCGTTGTGAAGCTGTCCGCAGCCTCTGCAGTGCGGGTTCAATCCCAGCTAGCCAGCAAGAATCCCACATGGTGCAGCAGACCTCTCTTGTCTCACCAGCTGCTCCCCTCAGCAGTGTATTTTGTCAGTCTGCCTGTTCTGTTCCCCACTCTGTCTCTGGTGAATCCTCTCACTCTCCCACGCATCTGGCCTGTACCCTGGTTCTTGTATGTATAAATAAATAAATCTTTGAAAAAAAAATTCAGTCTGACTATTGTACAGAAAATCAACTAGTGTGGAGAGAATGGATGTAGGGAGACTTACTAGGGTCTACTTTAGTAATGAAAGATGAAAGATGATGACAGCCTGGCTTTCTAAGTGATAGAGAAAGGTAGACTGACATAAGAACTATTACTAAGAAACAAATTATAGCCCTAGGGAACTCTTTTTTTTTTTTAAAGATTATGCATACAAGAACTGGGGTACAGGCCAGAGGTGAGGGGGTGAGAGAATTCACCAGAGACAGTGGGGAACAGAACAGGCAGATTGACTAAAATACCCTGCTGAGGGGAGCAGCGGGCAAGTCAGGAGAGGTTTGCTGCCCATGTAGTTCACCCCCTGGCTACCTTTGGCCGGGGGGATCGTACTCCTACTGCAGTAGCTGTGGATTGCTTCACAGTGCTGTGCCTTAACCCCTTGCACCGTCAGGGAAGCCCTGGGAGACTCTTTGGATGTGAGGGATAAAAGTGTTGTCAAGAACTGCATTTCTGGATGGAACAACTGTTGATACTTAAAGAGAAGGGAGGGCCTCCCCTGGTGGCGCAGCGATTGAGCGCTGGGCTGCGAAGCTGCCCACAGCCTCTGCAGCGCAGGTTCGATCCCCGGCCACGGGCGAGGGTCCCACACGGCGCGCAGACCTCTCCTGCCGCCCGCTGCTCCACTCAGCAGTGTACTTTGTCGGTCTGCCTGTTCTGCTCCCCGCTCTGGCTCTGGTGAATTCACTCACCCTCTCGCACTTCTGACTGTACCCAGTGCTTATATAAATAAATAAATCTTTAAAAAAAAATAAAGAGAAGGGAATGCTGGAATAGATGCAGGTTTCCTGGGGCTGTGGGTGCTGCAGACCATTAGTTCAGGAGGGCATTTTAAACTTGGATGTCTGATATATCTAGGTGATGTTGAGTAGACAATTGGATATACAGGTCTGGAGCTCAAGAGAAGTCTCAGTTAAAGATAGAGATTTGGCAGTCTTTACCATGGTTGATACTGGAAATCATGGGAGTAGATGAAATTGTCAAATGAAGAGTGTGAACAGAGCAGAGGTGGCCAAGAATTGATCCCTGAGGCTGGTAGAAAATGAGCTAGACAGGTAGGAGACAAACCAGGACGGTGTCATCATGGGAGCTAAAGAAGGTGGCTCATTGTGTTAAATTCATTATTTACATAAAAGAATGTGATAAATGCTAAAGGTGTGTTTCCAGGATCCAGAAGTGTCTAGCACAGAAAGGATTATCTTTGCTTGGGAGTGGGGAGTAGGGTTTTCAGATGTTTCTCAGAAAACAGATCTTTGTGTTGGTACAGTGTGGATGATTTACAACTTAATCAATTCTAAATGTCTTTCCTGCAGGCCGGGATGCATCCAGAGCATTCGTGACTGGGGACTACTCTGAAGGAGGCCTTGTGGATGATGTTTCTGGCTTGTCATTTTCTGAGATGCTGACCCTTCAAAACTGGATTTCATTCTATGAAAAGAATTATGAATTTGTTGGTAGGTATTCCATAGGTTATTTCTACAGAGTTCATTTCAGTGTCTTGAATTTTCTTTTAAGGGGCTAGAATTCTTTGGGGGTTTGGACTCAAGGTTAATATCTGAAAAATAGCGAAGGATAGGGCCTCCCCGGTGGCGCAGCGGCTGAGCGCTGGGTTGCGAAGCTGCCCGCAGCCTCTGCAGCGCCGGTTTGATTCCCGGCTGCTCCCCGGCCACCAGAGGCGCGCAGACCTCTCCTGCCGCCCGCTGCTCCCCTCAGCGGTGTGCTTCAGTCCTTCTGCCTGCTCTGCTCACCGCTCTAGCGCTGGTGAATTCTCTCACCCTCCCGCGCTTCTGACTGTGCCCAGTGCTTGTATAAATAAATAAATAAATACATACATACATACATACATAAATACATACATAAATACATAAATAAATAAAAATCTTAAAAAAAAAAGCCAAGGATTTTTCACCTTAAACTCTGGTTATTTAGAGTGGCAGTGAGTCCCGGGAGGAAATGGCTGGGGCACTTGTTTCCCCTCACTCCTAACCTTGGGAGAGGAGTGCCTGGCCATTTATTTTGGCCTATGTTACCCCCAAAGCCAAGGGTTGCCTGTACTATCCTTGAATAACCAGCTTCAAGAAAGCAGCTTCCCGGGCCTCCCTGGTGGAGCAGCGGTTGAGCGCTGGGTTGTGAAGCTGCCCGCGGCCTCTTCGGCACCGGTTCAATCCCCGGCTGCTCCCCGGCCACTGGAGGAGGGTCCCACATGGCGTGCAGACCTCTCCTGCCGCCCGCTGCTCCCCTCAGCAGTGTACTTCGGTCCTTCTGCCTGCTCTGCTCCCCGCTCTGGCTCTGGTGAATTCTCTCACCCTCCTGCGCTTCTGACTGTACCCAGTGCATGTATAAACAAACAAACAAAAACTAACTAAATAAATAAAAACATGCCTCTATTAAAAAAATATATATTAAAAAAAAAAAGCAGCTTCCCTTTCTCACTGAGTTATAGGCATCTGGCTTCAGCACACACAGTTAGGAAGGCTTGAAGCATAAGTTTGTGCACAGTTTTGACAAATACCCTTTTATTTCACCTTTGAGGAGATAAACATTAGCCTGTGTCCAGCCTGAGAATTGTCTCCCAGGTGTAAGTAATGCTAATCAAACATTTATTGAAGCCAGTGGTATAGGGCACTGTACTTGCTATTTACTAGTTAGACACAAGGAAACTAACTTTTTATTTTTTTTAAAGATTATGCATACAAGAACTGGGGTATAGGCCAGAGGTGTGGGGTGTGAGAGGATTCACCAGAGACAGAGCTGGGAACAGAGCAGGCAGACTGATTGTAATATACTGCTGAGGGGAGTAGCGGGAGAGACAGGAAAAGTCTGCTGCGCCATGTGGGTAGCTCCCTGGCTGGGGATCGAAATTGTGCTGCAGTGGCTATGGACAGCTTCATAGGTTGAGTCTTAACCCCTTGGCCACCAGGGAGACCAGGAACTAACTTTTTAAATGGGAAGACACTGAATGGTATCCTAAGAAATGTTAGACATTAAACACTAGATTGCTTCACACACACTGCACACTGGGATGATTTGGGCTCTTTTTTTCCCCCTCTAGCTACATCTAACCTCTCACTAGAGCTCCATTTCGATACAACTAACTTCCTAAGGAATATCGGTGTCACTTCACCATTGACACAGGCCTAAATCGGAAGACTTTTCTCTGTCCCTAATGCCTATAAATGACTGTCCTGTCATTACCTTCGGCTACCCAGTCTTTTTACCCAGTCCACTTCAGGTCATTTCTGAGACCACAACCATGTCTGCCATTGAAGCAATTGGCAGCTGTCCATCTGCCCTGCAGAGGACCTGGTTCTCCCTTTTCACCATGAGCTTGATACTAAAGTTGAAACATCACCAGGTTAATAAGAAAACACAACACAGAAGAATAAGAAAGGAGTCCTGTGAATGTGCAAAGGATATCAGACCAAACATGTCATACTGGTATTTGGGGAGCAAACAGATGTGTTTGATGAGATGAGTAAACTAGTCTTGTTTGAACAGTGTAAATATGTCAGGACATATTTGAATATCTACTATAGAGAAACAATGGTTCTGGTTCTCTTGGGAACCAGGGATAAGTTTAATGCATTTCCTGTGTTCGGTTAGCATGTTCTGGGTGGGAGGAGGGAGGCTGTGTTGGGCTCTTTCAGGACACCAGAATAGGTGTCCTGACACCTCAAGACACATCAGAGGATGAAGGTCTATATATGGATGCACACTGAAGTGGCGACAACCAGGAAGCCATCTTGGCAGCCACGTGGGCAGGCTGCCAATTCCGAGGGAAAATGAGATGTTGTCTGTTATGCTCTGGATATAGCATTTGCTTGGCCCCCCCAGCCAGTGGTGGCCACTATTCTAATTACACAGCTTCTAGAATTATATTCCTGTTGCCTCTACTACCATCGTCCTCTTTTTTGGGGTGATACATCTAAAACACAAAGACAGGCTTGTCACCATGCAAGACAGAGACCTGTATAGGTAGACTGTATGGGATTAGGATCCAGACCCTTCATTTAGTTTTGACAAGCATTTAAAACAAAAGTGACATAATTAGAATTAGAACAGTCAGGATAGGGAGTTGGCACTGAGAGGATATACTGAATCTTGGACCCACTGAACATAAGTACCACCTGGAATCTAAGTTCTCCGACCCTGACTTGGACCGACATAGCTGGGGCACTGCGACCCCTTCCCCCTATTCTAGCAAACCTAGAAGTGCTTTCTGCTGTCTCTCTTGCTCTGTGACAGGTGCTGCCTATGAAGGCTACTCGCTCCTCATGTCTTGGAGACAAAAGTCCCTGCACCTAAGTACTGAGCCCTCTGGCTCAGGCCTATAAGCTCACAGACCACTTGCTGGCTGCTGCCATAACTTAGAACTTCTGATGAATTTTAAATAAAGCCAATTTCTACTCACTCTGTCTGCTAAAGGACTATACCAGAAGAGAATAGTGGAGGGAGAACATGAAGGACATGAACTTGGAGTGAAACCCACTTACTAGCTTAATAGATTAGTTATTTTATCTCCCAGTCTCTCGCCTATGAATATAGAAATTAGAACACTAATTTCTCTCTCGTAGGATTGTTAGGAGGATTAGGAAAATATAGGAAAGGTGCTAGCATAGTGCCTGACACTGAGTAAATGCCCAATAAATTATTTATAGTTGTATAAAACAAAATAATTCAATGATAGGAAGAATATTACTAAGTATTCATGCATCAGGCATTTATTGAATATCCACTGTGTGCCTCCCAAGCACATTGGAGCATCAATAAATGCATCACACATGGTTACACTCTCAGGGAACTAATATCTAGAAAGAAGAAAGATTTTGTAATTTCTGTGCTAGAAAACTCTACAATTAGGGATGCTTCTATTTAGTGTCTTTTTTTTTTAAAGATTTATTTATTTATTTACACAAGAACCTGGGCACAGGCCAGATTTGCAGGAGGGTAAGAGGATTCACCAGAGACAGAGAGGGGAACAGAACAGGCAGATCGACCGAAGTACACTGCTGAGGGGCATGACAGGAGAGGTCTGCTGCACCATGTGGGACCCTCGATGGCCGGCCGGGACTGAACCAGCACTCAGAGGCTGCGGACAGTCTCACAGCGTGGCGCTCAACCACCTGCGACACCGGGGGAGGCCCTTCTATTCAGTGTCTTGTGAGATGTTGTGAGACTTCAAATTCCCTCCAATTTGAGTTATTAATAAATAAGCACCCAGTAGGCTCCTGGAGTGTCTTGAAGTCGGAACTTCAGGAACTTAATCCTTACTCCAGCTGCCTAAGAAGGGAAACATCTGGTCATGCCTCCCTCTCACTGTTACTCTGACATCAGCTTTCCTGTCACCACAGGGAAGGTGATAGGAAGGTTCTATGGAGAGGATGGACTACCTACCACAGAACTGGCCCAGGTAGAAGCCATGATCACCCAAGGCTTGGAAGCAAATAAGCAGGAACTGAAAGAAAAGAAGAAGTTTCCGCCATGCAATGTTGAGTGGAGCTCAGCCAGGGGCAGCCGGTTCTGGTGTTCCCAAAAGAGGTAAACAGCCTTTCCTTCTGCGCCTCTCCACCTCTCTCCCAAATCCAATTTCTAGGTCATTCCAGCTCTCTTATTCAATGAAGCCATAAACTGACTTTTAACTCAAGGGAACTTTTTCAAAATACATTCTCTGGGACAGTGATTTTCAACCATGGCTGTATGTTAGACCCTTCTGGGGAATCTTAACAATTACTGATGGTGGAACATCACTCTAGACAATTAGATGAGAACCTGCATATGTTTTTGTTTTGTTTTACAGTCATAACACTTTATTTTTACTTTGTGCATACAAAAATGCAAATCCAGAGAGCAGTAAGCAGTAGTGGCAGGTGCATTGCCCAGCCCAGCAGCAAACCTTGTCTAGCAAGATTTTAGTTTTTTAAACTTTTAGTGAATACATACATTATATAAAGCAACAACAATAAAAATATACCAAGTGGTTAGAAACTTAGCTATTTCTACCCCAAAAATAATGATTACTGTTATCAAGATTTCAGATGGGACAAAAAAAATAGAATTTAAAAGACCAATAACATGTTTCATGAAGAAGTAAAAACTACCATAAAATGCCTTTTTTTTCTGTCACATTGATTAAATTTCTGAAAAGCCACACATACAGACAAAATAAAAACTCTGTAACTGGACAGTTAACACTTAACAGTTGAGTTGTTAACCCAGGTAACTGCAGACTAGTTTAAAGACTCTTTTAGATATTTACCCCCCCACCCCCCAGGGTCCTCATCTTATTTTTTAATTTTTATTTTATATAGTTTTACATCATTTTTCATCTTTGTACAGTGTATGCATTTTCATCTTGGTTATAGTCCCCGTGTCCCATGTCTTTTAGATACTTTGAAGGCTTTTTATTTTTACTTTGAAGGCATTTTATGCATTTCTCAGCATAACGTTTCAGCCATCCTGCCCTTTTTGCTTTAACACACGCCAGAACAGAAATGCTTGCATCATTGAGTCTGTTTTAGTTCTGAAAAAGAAAGCAATGTTCAAAAATATTTAATAGAACTATAAAAACTACAGAAGGGAGTCTTCATAGCAAAGTGTCTTTGTTCTGCACAGTTTCTTTGTATACTCCTCAGGATTGGTTTATCTGCCCTTTGAATACAACAGGACCTGTCAGACTAAGTTGAATGAAAAATAGAAAAGGTCTGTCTACTATAAACCAGGAAAGTAAGACCTTGCCATTAAGATTGCAGATATTGCTGCTGAAGCTTTGGTTCCATCTTTGCTGACATCAATTTTTTTTTTGGTAAAATTAAATTTATTTTCTTACATCATTGTTTGGTTTCTCCCCTCAGGTGTAGTCCCCGTAGTTCTTCTGCCACCACAGCACCCATGCACTATCATTCTAGAGCAGATGGTAGAGAATGCTAACTCAGTTTTTGCTTTTTGCACCATGTGAGGAACATGAAGGTTTTCTGATCTTGTTATTTTTGCAAAATTAACCTTCGATGGATCAATCCTCTTGGCATACCAAGAACTTTTAGTGACGCCTTCAAGTGTAGGCTATAGCTGTGACCTTGGGCAAGAGGGCCTGCCCCCACTTGGATACCAGGGTGCCCAGCTGGCTGTCTGTGGTCTTGGTGCTGATGTGAGGGGTGATGGGCGGCAGTGGCAGGAGCTCTCAGTCTGCAGGTGATTAGCATGCCAATGCTTTCTCAGAGGTAGGGCAAATTGATGAAGTTGTATTAAACATCAGTGGGGGTGTTTATGGATCCTAAAGAACCAGAGACAGCTTCAGTGGTTCCTTGGTGACTTCTAGAAGTGGCATGACTGGTTGCTAATGAGCACTGTAGCTTCAGAGGGAAGAGGCAATTCAGTTTGAGAGTGTTCATTTCTAAAACACAGCTTATTTATAGGGATAAAGATAAGAGACAGTTCTTCCTTTCTTCCCTGGTAAAGAATTCTATTTCTTCAGTCAAAACATATCTTTTTCTTTCCTTTTTTTTTTTTTAAACAGAGAAATAGCCATACAAAGGTTTAATAATAACATGTGTACCTTCTGTGTCCATGGGAGAGACCCAGCTTGTCTGAGTCACTCCCTTTCTTTTTCTTTCTTTTTTTTTTTCTCAAATTCCCTAAAGACACTGCTAAAGAAATCCTGGCCTGGGAATGGGAAGACTTAACTACTAGTTCTTGTTCTTTTTGGCCTGTTCATTCTGTTTCCTGTTCATCAGCACAAATCATTCCTGCCCACGGGAGATGGGGATGGAGAGAGGAACTTGCAGCGAATTCCTGAGTGCTGTGTTAAAACTCTGTAAATTCTGTGCAATCTCAAGATGAACAGGCTAGAGGGAGAAATAGTTTCCTGTAAGAGTGAAGTAAGGAGAACCAGGTTAGAATAGAAGCCACAGGGATTATTCCAGGTTGCTTTAGGAAAGTTGGAGAGAATATATTGTTTCTGCTTCAGTCATCGCTCAGCCTGAACTCATAAGTGACTTGAGTCTCTCAAATCTCTTTTAGCTCTGCTGAGGGAAAAACTGAAGGCAGACACTGGACAAACCTGCTCACTCCCCTTACCTCCCACTCTCAAGGGACTCAAAGTAAAAGTCCAGCTCTCACTTAGGGGGGGCCGGGAGGTCTGCTGTCCCTAGCTAAGTTGAGGAGGGCCACCTCCCTAAATGCTAAGCTGCGGAGACCACCCTCTTCTAAGGCTAGAGGCCATCCCTTGTTGCTCTGCTGGAACTGATTCCTCTTATGGACAAGAGTAGACAACACAAACCAATAGCTTTCCCTAGGCCAAGCCACCGTATCCATCACTCACTTCTTCCACCTGACTCCGAGGGCACAGAAAGGAAAATCTTTTCTCTCCTGGCCATAAGTTTTCAAGAGACAGATTTTCCAATGTCATCATGCCTCCAGAAACCTGAGGCATGAGAACCTGGCCTGCCTACTTCCGGACAAAGATGGACATTGTAAGCACATAGCCTGCATGCAGGTGATTGCAGAGGGCATCGTCCTCCATGGAGGGTCCATTTAGATGCTTGACTTTGCTGCCTTGAAGAATCTTTCTCCCTTTTCCTCACCTCGTGTCTGTGTAATCCCACACCCGTGTCTGTATAATCCCTTCTTGTTCTCATGACTGGGTTGCTTAGGCTCTGCCTTTCACAAACTCTCCCACCCCAAGTGGGTTTGGCCCTGTCCTTATGCTTCAGCCTAATTTCTTGTTTCCTACTCCCATGTGTGCATCTTCTATTAGACTGGGAGAAATAAGCCCTGAAGGCAGGGACTGGGTGTGAAGCAACTAACACTGAGGGTGGGATGGCTGGCTGGAAGGAAGGAGGCAGGCGTTCCAGGGCCCTGTCAGCCTAGTTGTTGAGTGAGCTGCAAATGAGGTAGTTCTCACTGAGTTGCAGACTTTCTCTAGTCTGCTGGTATGTGAACCTCTACGGTGCTCACACAGTCTCTATGTGGGCATCAAGAATCTCATTTTCCTTTTGCAAGGCTTGTGAATCCATGGGAAATTGCATTCAGTCCACTAAGAGGTAGGTCCCTCAGCCCAGGATAGAAGGTTGCTTCAGATTATGATGGGCCAGAACTTGATCCTCTGACTCTGCAGCCTGGCAATTTCAAGGACTCGGTCTGGCCAAGGCTGTGACTACAACCTATGCCAAGGGCCTCCCAGGGGAGGCCGGCCCATCAGGCCCTGGGTTGTTGCCTCAGCTGCCTATCCCCAGTAAGTGCCTCATATCCTAAGATCTAGAGCCTGCACTAGGATGTAGTAGGGAAGGGAGAAGAGAATCAGATACAGACATTGCATTTAAGTTCACAGTAAGGGAAAGCCTGCCACCGCCATGCAGGGAAATGACGCTGCCCCTTAGAAGGGACAGGGCTGGGGCAGGGCAGCCCACTGAAAGGACACTGGACTCTGCCCCAAAGCGGGAGCTGGAGTGTTAGGAGAGAACATGAAGGTTCAGGGACTGAACATTGCGGACCACCACCTTGGAAGAATGCCAAGATAGCAAGTGGAATGACCCCTACTTCTCACAAAGTCTGACTCACTGCTCCCTCATTCCCCCTTCCCACAGAGACTTAGGAGTTTGTGCTTTTAAGAAGTTCTCTTTCCTTCTCTCCACAGTGGAGGTGTGAGCAGAGACTGGATTGGCGTCCCCAGGAAGCTGTATAAGCCAGGTACCAAGGAGTCCCACTGCGTGTGTGTGAAAACCACTGGTCCCCCTAGTGACAAGAAACCTGACAACCCTACACACAGGAACCGTGGAGACTTGGACCACCCCAACCTGGAGGAATATGTAGGCTGCCCACCCCAAGCCATCACATGTTTCCTCCCACTGTAAGCTGGTGCCCTGCTTGGAGAACCCTGCCTGGAACCCTGACAGGCCCTCGACTCATGCCCTAGGATGGCTCCTGACCTGAAACAAGAGAACATGGAAGGACATTGGCCACACCCTGCAAGCGTGACTCGTGTCTCCTTATTGTGGGCTCCCCGTTCTAATGACTACGGCCAGGACTTGGCAACCTGACAGTTTTTGCCACTTCCTCCTCCATTCACTCTGGCCAGTTTTTGCCATGTTCCCCCCTAGATCCATTTGCCAGCCTCCTTCCAAGCCCTCAGATATTAATGGCACAAATATGTCCAACTGAAAATTAGCTAAACCAAAGGGCTTCCTTCCCATGGACTCCCAGGCTGTCCAGATCAACTGAGGGCTGGGCCCTGCCTCTAATTAATTCCCAAGCCTGTCAGAACATCAGGGGCACTGTCAGCAAGGAACTACAGCATTTCCTTACAACCCAGAAACAAGCAGACCTGCAGAAAGCCATATAAATAAAGTGTTAACAGTGTTCAGGCTCCCCATGGCTAAATTTGTGACCCCTGACTTTTAGTACCTTTCTTAGAAGTAACAGCCCCACCCTAAGGCAAACTTGAATTTACAGCAAAAGCAACATTGAGTTGATTGAGCTTGGCCAATACAATGAGAGGTGACAATAAGCAAGATAGGTGAATTCTGGAAACGGGAAAGGCTTTTTGCCCATATGGATGCAGCAAATCCAAATGCCTCTGAATAAGCAACAGTTTAAAGCCAAAGATGCTGTTTCTTTCTTTTTTTTATATATTCATTTTTTTATTTACATACAGAAGAGCTGGGGTGCCGGTCAGGCGGATCTGCTGAAGTACACCGCTGAGGGGAGCAGCAGGAGAGACAGGAGAGGTCTGCTGAGCCATGTGGGTAGTTCCCTGGCCGGGGATCAAACTCAGGCCACAGTGGTGACAGCACTGAGACTTAACCCCTAAGCTGCCAGGGAGGCCCAATGCTGTTTCTTGTTGAAACACCTAGAATCAGGTGTGATGTGTTTTCAAAGGAGAAGTCTAAATTTTCAGCAAAAACTGTTTCACAGCTCTAACAAGGCAAACTGGCTGGCTCAGCATCAAAGTTTGTGCAAGGCAGCAAATGCCAGCACAACCAGTGGCAGGGCTGTGGGTTGTATGCCCAGGGTCATCGGTATCTACAGTTGACAAATGTCATACCCTTTACTCCCTCGGATTCTTAAATAAATGGAGGCAGGGAGACTGCACAGAGAAGGAGGTGTAGACTGGCGTAGTTGCAGGTTCATGGGCTCCTCATCTGAGCTGTTGTCTTTGTAACCTCCCGACCCCTCCACTCTTACCCTAAACTCTCATCCTGCTTCCTTTGATTTTTTTCCTCTCTCTTTTACCATTAACCACACAAAGTAGCCGCTCAGATCCACTGACTGGAAATGAAGGCTGCCCCTCTCACTGGCACTCGTGGCTCTGACCTGTGGCCACAGCTGTTCCTAAAACCTGGACTCTGCTCTGGACTCCTCTTGCCTCCCGGGAGCTTTCTTACCTGCCTTTGCTTGTACTTTCAGCTTCTTCCTGCCTGCTGGCTCTTTCCCCTAAGTACACATTAAACAGTTCGCACTTTCCCACATCACAACTAAAACCCTCTCCTCCGTGCCACAATCTTCTGGAGCACCGTATCTACTTCCTGTGACAGTTAAAAACTTTTTGAAAAAAGCTGCATGTACAGTCTTTCCTTCTCGCTCCCCATTCGCTGCACAACACGGTTGCCTGGCTTCTGCCCTTCTCAGCTAGCAGAAGGATAAATTCCATGTTGGCAAATCCCGTGGTCACATCCATTCTTAGTTACCTGGACTTCGTCACATTTGCGGCCTCCATGAAACCTTCCCTTGACTTTCTGATTTCCCACTTCGCCCTCTGGACATTCCTTCTCAGCCTCCTCCTTCTATGACCTGCTCCCCATTGGCTCTCACTCTACTTCAGCTGCCACTTACACGGCCAAACCTGTAATCCGGTCCAGGTGGCCTTCCTGAGCTCTGTTAAGCCACCTCAAATGCCACATTTCTGGCATTCAATTTTTATCTTCTTCCTCCTTGTTCTTTTCCCCAGTGGCAATTCCACCGCCACCATCTGTATTCTCGCACCTCAAGAAAGAATCCTGCAACTACCACAACTCCTTCCTCTTCATGCCCCCTCCTGCCAACCAGTCCCCAAGTCCTGGCAATGCTACCTGCTCACTTACCTCTCTTTCCAGCTGTTCTCTGGCGGAGGCTTGTCATTTCTCACCAGAGTCCTACAGGCATCAAGCGGCATGGCCTCCTTTAGCTGATCCGTCCCGCTGCCGCACCTCATTTTTCTTGATGATTCGGCATTCTCCATCTAAACCTCCTCAGCGGCTCCCCCTATCTATGAGGATCAAGGGCTATTCTTCAGTCTTTTGGCTATTCTTCAGTCTTTCTTTGGTTCATCTCCCCTTAGCCTCTATATATTTCTCACCAACTCTCCCAACGTGACATCTCTTCCTCTGCTCTTTGTGTTAGGGGAAAGGATGTCAACCCGTTTCATATTGGGGTTGCTCTATAACATTTGTAATTATCTTTTCAAACCTCAGCTCAGTCAGCACCTCTTGGGAGGCTTCTTTAACCAGTGATCCACCATTCTCATTTAGATGCATTTCCTTGAGGTTCCCACGGCACATTCACTTCTAAAATAATCATGTATCCGTGTTTGTTCTGTAACCAACACTTTCCTATCCGCTTCTTACACTGAACTGCAAACTCCTTGACTCGGCTTTGTACCCCCATAGCCATAGGACCAACGTGTGGTAGTTTCAGAGTTTGCCCTAATTTTGGAGATGAGGCCCAAAGAACTTACTAAGCTTACCAAGCAATAAGCTGAGCCCACAACTTAAGGTTTCTATCCTCATTCAGTGCCATTTCCACTCCCCCATGGTTCAAGGAGAAGGAGCAAACCTTAAGTTGAAATCTGGGTTCTGAGTTCCACATAGCACTGAGGCATGTGTCCCTGCTTAATAGAAGCAACCCTCACCTCCTGGCTAACAGGGCATTTGTGCTACAGTTCTGGTCTTTCTTCCTCATTCAACAAATAGTTACAAAGCACCTCCATGCCCCCTGGGGCAGGGGGTGGGAGAGTAAAGTAAGGCTTCTGACCTCAAGGAGGCGTAGTATGGCAAAGGAGGCCCTGATTAGAGTATCCGGAGGCCATTCTTGGTCTACGAATGCAGGGAAAGTCTAAGAGTCAGATTTAGGGATCTTTAGACCCTTCCAAAACTAAGGCACAGGAAGAAAGTGAGCACACTTCAGGCATCCCACCCACCTGAGCTGAGGCGAGACTCCTGAAGTCAAGCTACAGGGCACGTTCCAGCAGGCCGCTCAGTTCCTGGCTCAGTGAGAATTCATTTCCTTTTTGATACTCACTACTTGTTTTAGAGTAACTGTCTTCCTCATGTCCGGACAGTGGGTGAATCTTCAAAGGATTCAGCAGTGGTTACACTGTCATTTAATGGTCCAAAGGGCTCAGTCATGAGAAGACAGTGGTTACTGGAGAAGTGCTTCTCCTTCCTCTAGTAGAGGTGGCCCTGGGAAAAAAACATGGAGGAAGCCATAGAAAGTTCAGCTTGAATAGTGAAGAAAAGTAATGTGTTGGGCAAGTAGGTTGGGTGGGAAATTTTATCTGTTCTCATTAACCTTCATGCCTTTCTTGAGAGGGGCCCATTTTGTGGTCCAAAAAGGGGGCAAGAACAGCCACCACCTCAGCTTCTAATAGTGACCATGGCCATCACAGAAAGAGCTGAACTTTCTACGCCTGTTCTCTCTGCTATACTAATGAGCAGTGTTAAAGCAGAGGCTGGTTAGCTGTCCTCTGACAAGAGGAAGGAAATGGTAACATCTGCCTTTTTTTTTTTTTTAATAAACCTTATTTTTCTATTGCTAATTTTGGCAACTGAAACATCTGCGTTTTGAGATTCCAGTTTTCTATTAACACAGAGCTAAATGTCGAGTCCAGGGTCTACCATGACTGTGTAACAATGGGAATCATCATAGACCATCACCCCCATCCCTTGCTTGCTTAGCTCTAGGACAAGCTAGCAAGAACCCACAGACAGCTGGGGTGTCCAGAATTCTGCATTGCCCCTCAGTTGACAGTGACAACCCCAGGCTGACGCCCCACCCGAGAGCACTTCCTATTGCTGGGGCCCCTAGACATTGGTCCTGTCAGCACTCATGGGAGGGGCCTCTTCATGGCACACTGATGTGTACTTGTTTGAGGGGAAGAATATATACTGATCGTCTTCCTCAAGGTAACCCTGTAAGCTAGGGAGGACCATGGTCACTTCCACTCTATAGATACAGAAACTAAGGCACAGGAATTATGAAACTTGCCCAATACTGTCAGCTTTATCAGTGACCATAGAACTAAAATTCAGTGCTCTCCCCTGGTTGGGCAAAAATATGTGGAAGTTACTGTGTGCCTGATTTCTGTTTGCACTCACATATTATGACCAGTGTTCACCTCAAAGTTGGCAACTAGGACTACCTGGAATCATGTAGAAGCACTTAATAGTGCCTGTCCACTATGTGAGGAAAGCTACAAGAGGAGGAGATAAATCACATTAGCTGGTCTGAACTTGGGGTAAACAAAATTGGAAGACAAGTAAATAAAAGACTATATTAGTTTAAGAAAGTGTGAGGGCCCAAAAACATTAATCCAACAGGACACCTATACCCCTATGTTTTTTGCAGCTTTGTTTACAATAGCTGAGCTATGGAAACAACCCAAATGCCCAAAAATAGATGACGGGATCAAGAAGATATGGTACAGGTACACAATGGAATATTACTCAGCAATCAAAAAAGACAAACTCATGCCACTTGCAGCAACGTGGATAGAGCTGGAAGGGATCATGCTCAGTGAAATAAGCCAGAAAGAAAAAGAAAAATACCGGATGGTCTCACTTACAGGAGGAATGTAGAGGATCCAAATAAGGGATCAGGGGGAAAAAAGTAATTATAATAAAGTAAAAATCAAAATCACACGCAACTATGAACCAGAGATATTCTGCAGGTGGGGAGAAGGGAGTAGGATCAAAACAAGGGTGGGAAGAGCACAAGGGACTATGGCGACAGTTCACAGGTGAATGGGTGGTGGGAATTTCATGGGGACTATATCCAAGGTGAAAATGCATACACTGTACAAAAATGAAAAATGGCGTAAAAAATATATTTAAAAAAAAAGAAAGTGTGAGGTCCGTGGAAGCTAGCAGTTTTGTACAGGGGCTTTAGGAATCACTAGATTTTAATCTGCAAGGCCCTAGACCTTCCTTAGCATTCTCTGAAACCCAGTGCCAGTCCTCCCTTTAGATTCTGACCAGCAGAAAACTCACCAGGGGTGGATCCTCTGGGATTACATGTAGTTAGAGAGGGAATTTCCAGGCTGAGTGCTTCAGTGGTCAGGTGGGTGACAGTACAGCTGGACCACACAGCTGATCACGCCATGAGCTGAAGCCTGGGCCAAAAGCACAGTAAATCCAGGCAGCTGGTCATTATGCCTAAAATAGCTGCTTTTTGATTGCTACCAGCAATGTGTTTCTGAAGAGTGTTAGACATTCAAACATTCCTAGATGGTGGCTGTTAAAGAAATTTATTCACATGTCAGGAGTTTCTAAAATTTGTTTTTAATGCTTATTGGTAGTTCTGCATTAAAAGTAACTACAAATGTCTTATTAAAGTTTCCACTTTAAATGCACAATTTCACCTTTTTATTATAAGGAATTGTTACACAAAATGCAAATATCAATATTTGAAAAATACATTCCATTACACGGATTCCAAAGAAACGATGCTGATAAGCGCCATGGTCCTATTCAATGCCAGCACCCCACACTCAGCACCACCCCGAATGGCTTGGAAGCCAAAGTCATCAACCCAAACGTGTGCCTGCGGTCTCTACCCAGCTACTGCCATTCCCCCTCTTAGGTCATGGTAACAGCCAACTCCACACATCTGCCAAAAAAGGACAAGTCACTCAGTCGCGCAGTCTGCCAACTCAAGACTCCCGAGCTTCAGAAGACCAGTGTTGCCAATTGTAACAGGTTAATATATTATTATGCCACACAAAAAAGGAACTGTACAGTGATCTTCCAGAGAAAGTCTTTAAGGCATCTATGATAACTTCTGGGAATTTAATTGTTAGTTTACATCTTGTCAAAGAACCAGCTCTTCACTAAATTCCTTCCACAAAATAAGAATGTAGCTTCCATATCCCTTTAGAAAGTTGTTTTCCTTGTTTCCCATCCTGCAGGGTGGAGGGCAGCTCTGGTGCTTCAGATGACAAGGGGCTGGGCAGGCCAGCTCCCTACTCAGTTCTTCCAGGGCTTGTGCCCAAGGGGAGCACCCCCAGGTCCTGAAAGAAAGCTTGGCTCAGGAGTTCCTTCACAGTCTCAAACCGGAGGCTCCAGTGGGTCTGTCAGGGGAGCATTACATTTACTTGCTCACGCTACCATCCCCTGGGGAGTTAGTTTGCCTCTCGGGTCTAAGCATTCTACAGTTTAACAGTGCTTCTTCCCCCAATGAAAAGAAAAACCTAGATAGAGATCAAGGCTCTCTCCCACTCCAAGACTTTCCACCCACTCATGCCTACAGACAAGACGAGCACAATACCCTTGGATACCACAGGTGTGGGACGTGAGTCGGGAAGACTGAACCCACAGCACGCTGAGCTACATGCAGGGACCCATTCAGGGAGAAGAGTGAGGAGTCTGAATGGGGAGATCAGAAATGACTCAGGGCTCTGAGGTAGAGGACTAATGGTCACATGGACCATACTCCTGGAGAGAAAATGGCAGATGAGCTGAGCGATCGAATCCAGTCTCAACTAGTTGCTAATTTGGGGTTGACAGTGCACAGGCAACAAACTCCAAATGGTACACAAGTTCCAGGACATCATTCAGTGGAGACACCACCAAAAAGATAACTGAAAATAACAAAGTCCTAAGCGTAGGCACTTAAGTTTGTGGGAAATTCCTGTTTTAGAGGATCATAGTGATTTAGTTTTAGGTCTTCAATTTATATATAGCACATGGTTTGTAACTTCATCTTAAAAAAAAAGTGTTTAGAATACACTGAAGAGTAATAAATGTGGTGATGAGCAAGAGGCAGTTAAAAAGCTAATTCAGCATTAACAATGTTGACTGATGCAGCAAATGATATTTCAGTAAAGTTTATTCTTCCTGGTCTACTCATTCACAATTGGCAACTTTTTGAATGAATAAAATTAAAATTTTAATACTAATATTTGCGCTATGGATTAAAATGTAACAATAACAGCGAGGCAGTGCCACAGTCAATCTCACCAGCTTGGAGCGAGGACAAAGGGGACTGAGAGCCAGGGCAGTGGACAGGGAAACCCTGCCAGGGCAGCCGCCACTCTGAAATGTGCCGTGTGCAGCCCCGTGAGCATCAGCACGGGCAGCCAGGCTTCCTAAGACTCCGGAAAGGTGCTTTTTCTAGATTTACAAGAATAGACCGTGAAGTCAATGCAGAACTCAAAGTGTTCCCCCATTCCACGCTGATCAGTACCATAGCTCTCCCTGACTCTGGGAAGAAATAAAAGCTTGACTTGATGTACTTCAGACATGATTTTAAGTGCAATTAGAGGCAAGACTATTAGTGAAATTGGAATGGCAGGGCAGGGGCAGGGCAATCAGCCTCATCACTGATTGAATTCCCGTCCTCCGCTCTCTACCATGAATGTTAAAAGAGCAAGTATTCAAGTACCAACCAATCAATTCACAGCAGAAGCATCATTATCTTACTCTCCAACGAAAGAATTGAGCCGCCGCAACCTAAGCCCTACTTCCCTGTGGCCCTGTTCAGACAGGGCATGGAAAGTGACCACATGCCTCACATGGTCATATGTTTGCCAAGACTAGGTATTTTCCATAAAAATTCTAGATGAAATTTTTCACAGACTTTAGGTACAGGGGAACTCTTCTAATTAATGTTTTCTTTTAGACATTGTACCCAAGCTCATATTAACATAGAAAGCATATATATCTTATAAATCACAGAAATATTTAAAAAAAAAGAACTCTGGTTTATCAGCTCATTTTACACACATATTTAGGCAATATAATATATAAATCTACAGCAACATAGAGGACATACCACTATCCAAAAACAAACAACAAAACAGGCTGTTGCAAAAAAAGTATTTAGTCCCCTTTACATATACAGTCATACTTTATTAATGCAAAAACTGTAGTGGTTATTAAATGTCTGAGAAAATCATATGTATGATTGAGATTATTCTTCTCTGAGGGTAACACTACAACACTACTATTCATCTCAGAGGGGTTTTTTTGTTTGTTTGTTTTTTAAGTAGTGGTAGAAGTTTCTCTTTAAATGTGCATTTTAAAAACTGGCCAAACCTTCAAAAGAAAAGTTTAACACCTCAGGGTTAATATATGTACTAGCAGCGACTAAGGCCCAACAAGCTCTGGGGGCCTTATTCAGCACACAAGCCAGAGCCTTCCAAAATGGGGTCACACATACTTGGCGAGGGCCTTCGGCAGTTGGCTCTTGTGGGGCAGGGCAAGCTACGCAGAACTGGGGCCTGGGACCAACAGCACTCACAGTATTAACTAGAGAAGGTTTCAGCAAGGAGCGTTCACGTCAAGATGGAGCCTGCCAGTTTGATGTCGGAGATCCTCCTCCTCATTACCTGGCCTGTGTGACTTTCTTGCCCCAAATGACACTTTGCAGGAGTTTTTTTTTTTTTAAGACTAATTGTGAGCTGAGGTCCAGTCAAAGCTGATCATTAGAGTCACTGATGTATGAATGTGTGAGGGATTTTTAAATTGGAATAACCAATAATGCAGCTCTATAAAAAGTGCAGCACAATAAAAGTGCATTTCCTCCACCACTCTCTAGTGGCAGAGTGACAGAGGACGCCACAGACAGGACAAAGCAAGATGAGAGAATGAGACGGCTGCTCGAAGGTGTCAACTGCCAAACCGCACTCCTGACACCTGAGCAGCATAAATACTGGTAAAGCTTTCAGTTGTTAAGGCCACGATTTTCAGCTCTCATCTTTGAACCCTGTTTAGAAAGATTCCACCTTTTTTAAAGGGGTAGCTCACTAGAAATACAGCTTAGTTTTTCAAAAAAACAAACAAAAAAAAAAAAAACCACACCAAGAAAACAAAACTCCCAAAACCAAACTTCAGGGCAAGAGGATCCTATTCTCTCTATGAAAACGCTGTGTAGAGAAGCCCACAGCCACTTACCCTAGAGCAAAGGCAGCTCTCATCAAGCAGCCAGATGCCGGCTTCCTACCACTAGGCTCTGCCCAGTAAGTCAGCCCAGATGGAAGACTTCATGAATGTTCTGAGATGGACACTAAGCTACTGGAAGGGAAAATGGTTTCTGAAGTGTCCTTGTTATGTTACTAGCAGAATGGGCTCTAATTCTTATCACATTTACCACTTAGGCTAAATGGCCTGGTCCAATGCATGAGACAGCTAGTGAACTCGATCGCAGTCTGACACACCGACAATCATACAGAATCATTTGCAATGGGATCTATCACACCATGGTCCTTAATTCCAGTCGTTTGCTGCAGGAAGACGACTGCCAGCTCCTGCTCTGGGTGGGGTCAGGCTGGTGAGCAGAGCAGCTGCTGGGAGGTGACCTGGGAAGTGGCCTGGACCCTCCTGGGGGCTCACTAAGAGACCCCGCCCAGAGTCAGTACATCAAAGCAAATGTTGCAAACTCGCACAGGCTTGTTCAGATCAAACTTTATAATAGGAATCTCCTTGGTCGAGCATTTATGGCAAAGAAGACGTCCGCAGTGACGACTGTGGAGGCAAAGAAAGGAAATGTGAGAAGGGAACTGAAGAGCGGACGGCTTCCCAGCACGAGGACGCCCCTGCTGCTCTCAGCAGACAAGGCAGGCCCACCACTGGTGCCTGGGGTCAGCCTTCTGCCAGGCAAGTTATAGCAACTCTTGCACAATGTCAGTTCATGGACACAAAAGCCTAGCCAAAAATTCAGTTCACGTGCTGCTGGAGAAGGCTCTTTCTTTAAAGATAAAGAGCAGCTCAGCAACGCCGAAAGAACTGTCTCATTTTAATGGGAACAGCTCTGTTCTCCATGGACTTAGGTTAGAAGCACACTTCCTAGGAGGGCAGCAACTCAGCCAGCTTCCCCCCACCCTCCGTCAGTATCTCTCAGTACAACCATGGGATGTGCACAGTCCTGTCAGCGCATCACTACATTTGGTCAAGTTTTGCCAGAAGAAGAGAGTCCTGGCAAGTTCATGGCTTGTCACTGAAAAGGGAAAAAGCCCTGCCGTTAACAGAAGTCCCCTGACGCCTCTGGTAAGCGATGATGGGCTGGGCTTACCAATGATGTTTTCGAGTCGTGACTCCAAACTTGGCAGTGCACTCATAGCAGTTGGAGCCGTCACACCATGGAGGCTCCTTGGACAGCATGTCTGTAATGCAGGAGAGAGGAAACTAGTTCCTGTTAGAGAGTGACTGTGCCAGGCAAGACTCAGAGCTCAAAGGGAATAGAGAAACAGACAGGAAATAGAGCAACACAGCAGAGAGATATGAGGGGCGAAAGAACAATATTCTCTAACTGGGACGTGGAAAGATTTGGAGAACGCGCATTTGCCAGGAGACCGGGAGAGAAGAAAACGGAGTTCAGGTAGTGACGTGGCACAGCGTCTGGAGGGAAATATAAGCCGTTAGGATGGCTGGAGCAAAAGGCATGGGGAAGAGAGCAGAGACCAACAGCTATTTCTAGGAGCCAAATGGTAACAGGATCAAGGAAGGGACCAAGACAAGGAAAAGTGAGGAGGCAGAATCTGTAAGATTTGGTGAGCAAATAAAAGTAGGGCTGTAAGCGGAAAGCAGGGAAGGTGACTCCCAGGTTTCTGGAGGGCGTGACGGAGTCTATGGTGGGGCCTCCAGCAGAGACAGAAGACGAGGCGTTCAGTTTTGAGTCTGCAGAAGCTGTGGGGCATTTATGTTGGACGTTATCGGTGTAGTAACAGCAGCAACCACTAGCATTTATTCACTGAGTGCTGACGACATGCCAGGCACTGTTCTAAGTGTTCTGCACATGGCAGACTGAGCTCCCCAGAAAGGAGCAGCCCATGGATCACTCACTCCTGGCTAGCTTCTGCCTGCCAGCACTGTGATGGGCTCCTATTCTGAGCTCTTAAAAGTGCACAGCAAAGAGTAAACTAGATGTGATGCAAACACTGTGCTCTAGTGCTGGCTCTTCATGAAACCAGCTTTGTGACCTTGAGCAAGATCCCACAGCTTCTAAATATTCATTTTCTGATCTCATTTCTCTGCCCATACCTTCAGGCAAATAACCCTGTTTAGTCTATGCTGTAGGTGATGGCAGCACAATGCAGGCACCCAAGGCATTCTGACTCTTTCTGTAACCTCAACTGGGAGGAGTAGAGCCTTGCAAATACGAAGAGTGAAGGTCTCACCACAAGAGGAACACAGACAAGGAAGAGTCAGTGGGGGCTGAGGCGGAAGGCCACTGTGAAGGCTGCAGAGAATCTGAGTCAGCTGAAGGAAGAAATGTATGCAGATAAGCAGTCAGAGACCCTGGAAGAACGACCTACCTGTTGGCTGGTGACAGATTTCTAGCAGGAGCCCGGGGGAGAGAAATTTACAGGGGCACCAAAATGCAGCACTCTCAAAAGAGACTGCCAACATCCACCCTCCCCGCACCCCTTGGTCTCAAAGGCCCCTTATCACATTCACAGAAAAAGACCTAGATGATGCCTGGAAAACTCCCGGTTCTGATCTTGGAGCAAGACATCATGAGATTTAAAGATCACCAACACACCCAGATAATCAGTGCTTGCAACGAAAGAGCAGAAAATAGGTCACTCACCTAAGAGTCTAAACAGAAGTTGCTTGGTGGCAACCTGGTAGTTGAAAATGTTGACTCCTTGGTTATTATTCACCCCAAGGCGGGCCCCAGATCGGACAATGGCACGGCACAAGTTGGCATTCCCTTTCATGTATGCTAAGAGCAGCACTGGAAAAGAAAACCACAGGTAGGGCTATTTCACACCTGGCTCCAATATGGCACTGCCAAAGGGCTGGCAGAGGATAGCTGAGAGCAGGGCAGGTCCCTGGCTGGGCATTCGCTAGGGAAGTCCCCATTGACACACAGATCCTGCAGCTCTGATGAGACCTCCAGAGGATGTGCAGTGCCTTCCAGTCAAGGACCCTGGCTTCAGGCCAGGGGGCTGCAGAGTAGCTCCAGTTCCACAGAAGTATTCTTTTTTTTTTTTTTTTTTAAAGATTTATTTATTTATGCACACAAAAACTGGGTTATAGGCCAGAGTGTGTGGGGGTAAGAGGATTCACCAGAGACAAAAGTGGGGAACAGAACAGGCAGACTGACTGAAATACACTGCTGAGGGGAGCAGCGGGTGAGTCAGGAGAAGTCTGCTGCGCCAGGTGGGTCACCTCCCTGGCCGGGGATCGAACTTATGCTGCAGTGGCTGTGGGTAGTTCCATATTGCTATGTCCTAACCCCTTGCGCTACCAGGGAGGCCCCTCCACAGAAATACTCTTTACAAGAGAAGTGAAAAGGGATTAGATGCTAAAGGGGAAATACGCCACTGTTAGCTGCCTTCCTCTGACATTAAACCATTGAGCTTACCCCAAAGGACAAAGCTCTTTTCACACAATGTAACTAAATCTAAAGACCTATGAGTTGTGTACAGACTAAGGAAAAAAATCAGCATGGGGAGCATGCGTTCACCCCTTGGGGCCTCTCTCCTATGAAGGCACAGGCCTGGTGGGAAACCAGGCTTCAGCCAGGCCATTCTGCTGCCACTGTCCAGCAACCCAGGTTAACAGCGGCTCCCATTTGCTTATCTTCACCTTTAATTCTTTCATTCAATTCTCTGAATGACCCAGTAGATTGAGGGTTATTATTTCCATTACCAAATGAGGCAACAGGCATACAGAGGTTACAAAATTTAGGTAGGGTCACCCCACTAGATGGCAGAGCTAGTATTTGAAACTCAGTCTTTGTAACATGAAGCACCTGCTTGCCTAGCACCTGCTCCCAGGATTGGTGCTCAATGGCATACACTCTGGGTCCAGCAGCTCCCTCACTCCCAGCGGCTGACTGCTCTGAAGCTCAAGCTCATCACTGCCAGATTAAAAACATGTTCATGTGTTATGGCCAAGAACCAGTAACAGCATATGTGGTCCCACATTAAGGTTCAGGAAGCCCCCTGGGACTGCATTTCTACCAAAGGTCCAGGAGGCACAATCTAGCGTGGGATAAACAGGTGGGAATGTAACAGCAGCAACATGCAAAGTGTGCCCCGGGCTAGAAGAAAGAGATTTGGGTTTCATCTTGTTGAGTGTGTGTTTCCTTTTTAAACGACTGGCACACATACAGTTTACCTTACAAGGCTGTTGTAAGTATTCAACAAGTAAATGAATGCAAATGTGTATCATTAAAAAAAACCTATGAAAATTACCAAATGTATTAGTGATTGTGGATAGGAAGAATAACGCCACAAGAAAGGCTGATTTAGTAACATCTCAATAAGACATCAGCTCTTCTACCTGTATATCATTTGCCATTTTTTCAAATCATGTCAAGCATCTGTGAGATGGTTATATTTTCTCTCTCTTAAGATTTGGGAGTTGGACAGGGACCTGGCTAACCAGACAAGAGACTGATGAGGGCAATAAAAACAACTGAGCAGGTGTGTCTGGACCTGGGGATGGCCCTGGAGCACTAGACACATTTCAAATGTGGTTGTGCATAAGTCAGACACTTCAAATTCTAGCTCAGGCATCTATGACACATGCTCAGTGAGCCCCATCAACATGCACTGGGCTAACTACCTTAAATAATGACGTGTATCTGGGCTCTGGTTTTTCCAGGAAGCAAGGAGCACATTAAGACAAGAGAGACAATTTATTACAGACCTGTGTTTCCTTCTGCATCTGGTTTATCCAGAGGATACTCAGGCATGCACTCTAGGAAGAGCTCGAAGATGGCTGCTGCATTCTCTTTGCCATATTGTCCCAAAATGTGTAGTGGCGACTGACCTCTGAGAAAATAAACCAGGAAAGTTAGTTATGTATTTGCCACACTCATCATACATAAAAGAAATGAACATTTCTATGAGCAGTATAATCTAAAGGACACATATTAAGCCATAAAAGTCTTTCTAAAAAGTATTTTTCAAAAAGAAAAATGCCAGGGCACCAAAGACTGGTCTAGTGTCCTAGTGGCCAGTCTGCAATATGCATCTGGGGCTGATGTAAGGCACCAGTGACCACCAGCTCTGAGGGGCAGCCCTGGCCTCTGTCCTGGGCCAGACACTCACCTCAGATTAAAGGCTTCAGCATCCACAGTGCACTCTGTCAGGAGGACCCGGATGTTGTTGAGCCGCCCATGCATGACAGCAAGATGCAGAGCTGGGGAGTAAATCCTCTAATTGTATAAACCCAAAAGCACACACAGATTGTCCCACCCCTCCTTACCCTCTCAAATCTCCCTCTAAATGAGATTCAGTCAAAGCAGCCACTGACCACTCAGTCTCCACTCCCTTCCCCTACCAATAATCAATCATAAGTGGAACCTTATGTGCCTTTGCTGTCTACTCCTGCAGTTATCTGAAGATGAGATTTAATGATTTCTTAAGAAGCCACTTCAGGTTTCTAGGATTATCATTCAGAGCAGGAGGTTGTCCAGGGCTCAGTTCAGAGCATTTCCTGTCAGCTTGCTCCTATAGAAAAGCCAACCTCCTGAAGGGAAGCAGACCCCAGGGTACTACGAGCCTCACTTCTAGAATGGAGGAGTTGCTAATGGCACTCAGCACTGGAAACAGAGGAATGACTGAGGATTACCATTATTTCCATTCTCATCCACAGCAGCAAAGTCCACTCCATTCTCCAAGAGGACTGAGCAGATGGTGGGAAGGTCCTGCTGGGCAGCGAGATGAAGGGCAGTCTGACGATGCTTGGTTAATTCATTCACTTTGGCTCCTGCAAGAAGCTGTCAGGTGTTGATTACATGAGTAGCCTCTCTACCATGTACATCAAGGTCCCACTTAGGGGGCCAAGCCTGCCTGTCCTCTGGCAAAGCTGGAGGCATAAGAGTCTCACACACATTCCTAAAGAGGCATAAACCAGCAAAACCTATCCCAAAGGCATCCTGGCAATTACCGAAATGTCAAAAAACCATTCCTTGGAACACTGAATTCTCTTTAGCACATTAAGTCCTCACTTAGCAGTGTTGATGGGTTCTTGGAAACTGCAACTTCAAGTAAAAAGAAATATATTCAAAGCAGGTCCTCAAGTTACGTCTTTCAATATTGGCTGGGATTGTTTTTCTCATCAACATTATAGTGAAATGTTATTCAAGGGCACAGTGCACAGGCCTCACTGTACTAGATAAGGATGTCCACTTGTAACAGTAAAACCTGACTGCAAGAAGACTGTGAAAATTATCATACATAAAAAACAGAAGAGTTATTAAGATGAAAAAACAGCATGGCTGGATAAGAGGATTCACCAGAATGGGGAGCAGAACAGGTGGATCTACTGAGATACACTGCTGAGGGGAGCAGCTGGCGAGACCAGAGAGGTCTGCTGTGCCGTGTGGGTCAGCTCCCTGGCTGGGGATCAAACTCATGTTGTGCTGCAGTGGCTGCAGGTAGCTTCATAGTGCTGCCTCTTAACCCCTTGCGCCACCAGGGAAGCCTCTCTATTAGCTTTATACTCTTGTGTTTTTAAGTTTTTCTACAATAAGCATGTATAATTTTTACATTCTAGTTTTAAAATAAAGAAAATAACCAAGAATTATAGAATCAAAGGCAAGAAAGGACTTTCAAATAACATCCTGTCTCTTTAGTATTTGAGATTCATTCATCATCCACTTTCTGCAAAGTTCCAGAGACAGTTGCTAGTTGCTGTTAATAGAAAATAATTTATAGCCAGAACCCAATTTCTCTCTTCCATGGCCTGAGGCTACCCTGATTTCTCTATGTGTCCCAGGAAAAACCAGGCTCTGGTGTGCTCCTCTGCCTCTGACCCTGACTTCCAAGTCCCAGCCTCCTCAAGCCTCCAGGACTTCCGGGCACCCAGTCAAATCACTCATCGTTCCAGACAAGGCAGACTGCAGAGGGGTAACGATACTGTGTGAAGGACCATAGCTAACCCCACAGTGGGTTAATTGGGGGAAGGGGGAGAGGTTTGGGTAAAAGACATTGTTTTCAATGCAAACAGCTTTCAACATTAAGCTGCCCCAATTCACAGAGGAAAGACCACATGGCCACTGCTTGGAAGATGAGCTGTTTCCAGGAACCTGTGACCTGTTAGGTCACACTTAAGTAAGGCAGGGGACATGACCTTGGTGAAGAAGCCATGATCTTGAAACTTCTCTAGGTCTCAATTAGAGTGGGAGGCACACTGATGACTATGTGGCTCGATTCCCCAAAATTTCAAGGCCTACCTTGTCTCCCCTCATCCAGTGTGTGCCTGGTTTCCATCAGATCCACCTCCAAATTATTCCTCAGTTCCATCCCTCAGTGCCACTGCCTCCCCTCGGCCTCTTCACTGTGACCCTGTCCTCACTTAAGCCCCATGCTCCCAGGTAAATCTTCTTTTATATCCAACACATATCAAATCATAGATTTTTTTCCAAAAAGTACTTTTCAAAAAGCAAACATCCTGGGGCACCACAGGCTGGTCAGGTGCTCCAAGGGCCAGTTCAGTAGAGTGCACTGGGGGCTGATTGCAGACACCAGCAGCTGTCAGCTCTTAGGGTCAACCAGGTGACATGGAACCCTGGTCTTGGCTGTGGCCATGCACCCAGCTCGAGCACATACAATAGTTTCTCCACTGCTGAAAGTATAAGGTTGCTCACAGCTGTGGGTCTGAAATGCCATATTGTACAACCCGGTCTCTATCTGCCTCTCCAACTGCATCTTCTACTCTCTACTCAAATTTCAACCAAACTTTTCTACTTTTCACATACACTTTCCAGTCTCCACATCTTTGCTCAAATTTCTCCTCTGGCATTATGTTAGACTGGAAAAGGCAGGCCCCTGGCTACATTGCTGATTAGATAATCATCTTAGAGGGGAAAATTCTGGATTTAAATTTTTTCCTTTGTAAAATGTAAATAATGCCCTATACTCCTCTGGTTTTGAGAATTAAGGGAGAAAGCTCACTGGAAAGCACCAGTTGAAGGCCTGTCACAGAGCACACAGACCCTGAAGTAGATTGCTCTGCCCCTGCTGTTCCCACCCTGCCTCTGCTATCCAAACCCTGCTTTCCCTCAAGGCCTCACTCCAGTCTCTGCCTGCCCAAGCAGCCTGCAGGGGACTTAGGACATGCTGCTCACTGACACCCCTGTTTACCCAAGTGTATTGGCTTAGCTCCCCTTTCATAACACCTGGCAAAACCCCAGTGATGATAGATTACAGACAGCTCTGCAGCAAGCTCTGCCCACATGTTACACACAGCATGTTTCAGTGACACTTACCAAATTGCGGACAATAATCTCTGAACCTGCTTGGACAGAAAGGTGCAAAGGGGTCAGCTTGGAAGCATCCTGGACTCTGGAATTCACATTAGCCTGGACGCTGATCAGGAACAAGACGCTTTCAATATCAGAGTTCTGAACGGCCACGTGAAGAAAATTCCGGCCCTTGTTGTCCACCTAAGGCAGTAAAGCAGGAGCCAAAATATTAGTGGGCTCCCTTGCGAGTGCATCCTGAGCTCCTGCCAGCTGGGCTGACCACTGGAGAGGTCACAGTGTTGTCCTTCCCTTGGTTCCAGGATGTTTCCCCCCAGTACTAATACTAAATGCTTCCTGCATGCCCCTCCCTCCTCAATCTATAGACATAGTTTGTGCACTTGACCACACATGTGGTCTCATTCATGTGGTCAGGGGAAGTGAGCCACTATTCTGATAGAAACTGGCCTGGCATCCTCCAAGAGCTGGGCTTGGAAAGTCAAGAAAGACAATCTGAGGAACAGGGAAACACAGGCACCATGATATTAGCATGCTTGGAAAAAGGCAAAGATGGAAAGTCACTTTGGGAGTCTCCTGCTTTGGGTAAAGTAAGCGTCCTAACACCACCACCACCACACCACCTGAATGCTGAGCAGTCAAAAAAGTCTTCAGTAAGTTTCCTCTTTCGCTGAGTGAGAGGAAAATAATACACAACAGGGAGGTAGGCAGCCAACTGCATGTCAAACTTTGCTCCACTGATGTAAAGCAGGCAAAAGCTCACTCAAATCAAACCACGGAGGAGAGTGTAATTCTAAGAGCTGTCATGTACACTGTGCTCAGCGAGGGGTGAGGGAGACACCAACATGGCACAGACACACCGCACTCCCTCACACATAAACATCCGGAGTGTCACTGTCTCTGCGAAAGATTCTGATCAACAGTAGCAATCTGAAAAACACAAAGACTAAAGCAGTACCAGTTTTGGACTAGATGGAGAGGGAAGTGAGGTGACTATCTTCAATCGTGAACATTTTACACCATCTGGACAAGGGTTAAGATTAACACCTACACTCAGTCCAAAAAATGATAAAGGAAAGTCAAACTCTGAAATACCAAGTTAGGATTTCATTTTGCTCAGGTCCCAAGTTTCCATTTTTGCCTTCATAAATCTTGGGCACTATGCTAATAGCTGAGATTCAAGTGTCTGCAGGACTAATTAAACTAACTCACCCCAGTTGCTACAGATCAACAATTCACCATTCAGTGGCTGGTGAAGAACCACAAAGAACAAGGAGAATGAATGGAAGAAAGCTGCTAAACTGAATGGTAACAATTCCTCTAAAACAAAGTTGCCCCAACATTATACCATAAGCTTTTGAAGTGCAACTTAAATCTTTTTTTGTTGGTTTTTTTTTAAAAAGATTTATTTATTTATTTATACAAGAACTGGGGTACAGACCAGATGTGCAGGAGGGTGAGAGGATTCACCAGACAGAGCAGGGAATAGAACAGGCAGACTGATGAAATACACTGCTGAGGGGAGCAGTGGGCATGACAGGAGAGGGCTGCTGCGCCATGTGGGTCCCTCGCCAGCTGGCCGGGATCAAACCCATGCTGCAGAGGCTGTGGACAGCTTCAGAGCGCTGCGCTCAACCGCCTGCGCCACCAGGGGAGGCCCACAATTTAAATCTTTGAAGACATTTATTACTAGTCAGTTAAACAACCAAGCAAAAGCAAACAATGAGCTCCACTGTACATGCTACACAGTTCCTATTTCCAGGCCTGGCCACTCCCACTTCCTTCTTCATGTGGCACCACCAATGGTTGACAAGAAGGCCAGTCAAATCTCATCTGGCACTGACAGATATCTGAATGGCCACATTTTAATATAAGGGTAGTATGATATTTCAAAATGAATGTCTTTATATAAAAGAGGCCTATTTAGTTGGTGACATTTGTTTAGTCTCTTAATAGGTTCTGTCGTGCTCAGGGCACCATGTAAATTGTTAGGTGTTGGTCACTCACCTGCTCAGCAGCCCCAGATTCTCGTTTTAGAATGGCCTCGGCTGCCTTGTTGTTCTTGTAAGTCATAGCGCAGGCAAAAGGGGTCAGCCCTTGTCTGTCTCGTACATTCAAGTGGATGTCAGGGTGAGAAATCAGCAACTGAATGATGACACTGTGTTGGTTGCTGATAGCCACGTGGACAGGTGTTCTTCCTTCTGCATCCTGTGGGGACAAGGTGCAGGTTTCAATGTCCAAGTGAAATAAAGTTCAGGAAAATTATAAAGAGGGATAATTTTTAAATCACATTTGGTTCTGAGAATCAATACTACCACAGTGTTTGAAAGTGGCTTGTAAAGAGGCCAAACACAGAAATGACAGAAAACCACCCCTCACTATACAACACTCCAGTAATCCTGCAAACACACATTTGGTTTAGAAGATTGGCAATAACCTCACCTCCACATTATACCATTCCTTATCTGGCTACAGGGCAGCATATGTATATATAAATCTTCACAGGCTAGAATGTTGAAAAACAGCAAGGAACAAAAACCCAGGAGTGCTCAACTGAGCTAATGGAACATTTTCCCAAACAGTACTCAGCTTAGGACTAGAACAAGCCGTAAGTGGAAATCTGTAACTAACAGAAATAGAAGGCAAAAAGAACAAAACAAATTTTCCTCATGCTGTAGAAAGGACAAATGCACAAAGAAAAAAATGTCTTAACCTGAAATCATTAAAATTTCTAGGCAGGCTGTATGACTCAGAGAAAGTCAATCTGTCTGTACTGCAGCCCCATTCATGGTAAAAGTGAAGTCTGGGACCGGAAAATTTACAAGGGTTGTTCAATTAGAGATTTCCCTAATTCTTGGATTATCATCTAGCTCCCCAGGAAAGAGACACTTTGCACACCTGTGAGTTTACATTGGCACCAAACTCCAGAAGACACTGTACCGTCTCTTCTAGGCCCCAGGAGGCTGCCAAATGCAAGGGAGTCTGCCCATCTCTGGCCTCTTCCTCTCCTTCTCCATTAGTACCTGGCTGTCTGGGACTATTCACATCGCAGCCACTGAAAAGATGAAAGCAACACAAAGGCAGATTTAACAGTTATGCGACTACCTAGTCTACTGGCATGCTGACAAATGTACAGCAGCAGCTTCACCCAACCCAATAAAAAGTTGCTGCCACTTCCAGGGATAACTGACCTTGGTCTCTCCTCTAATATGGCTGATTAGTCCCCCCACCCCCACCTCGCCATGGTTCCCAACAGATTTTTCTACATTTATCCCAGCCCCACCTCGCCATGGCTCCCAACAAATTTTTCTACATTTATTCTTGAAGGCAACTTAGGGTGACAGGGAATGTTCATGCATTGAAAGTTTCAGAACCACTGCTCTAAAAGTTTCCTGAATAGCCTTGCCTCTCATACACCCTGCACTCTGGGAGCCTATGGAGCCTTTCAGAAGTCAAGCATCTTGGTGGGACTCTACAGAAGCCATCTGGTCTCCACCCCAGCCTCCTGGCTTCACAGTATGAACTGGCCTAATAGGACTTACAGGAGCCCAAATGGCTCCCAAAGCAAGAAAATGGCTTAGTTTTCAGTTTCTCTGAACTAGCACACTAGTCCCCCTCCCCACAAGTGAGTCTGGCCCTTGGCTGTCTTGACTTGACAGAACAGTGATCCTCTGATAATCTGAATAATGAAAGTTATAGGTATGTCAAGGCTGTAGGTAGGTTAAAATTTAGAGCTAGTTTGCAGTAAGTTGAATAAGACTTGAAGAGCTAGGGCCTCCCTGGTGGTGCAAGGTTAAGCACCGCACAATGAAGCTATCCATAGCCTCTGCAGCACGAGTTCGATCCCCGGCCGGCCAGAGAGCAACCCACATGGCGAAGCAGACCTCTCCTGTCTCGCCCACTGCTCCCCTCAGTAGTGTATTTCAGTCTGTCTGCCTGTTCTGTTTCCCACTCTGTCTCTGGTGAATCCTCACCACCCCATCTCTGGCCTGTACCCCAGCTCTTGTATGCATAAATAAATAAATCTTTTTTAAAAAAGTTAAAAAAAAAAGGATTTGAAGAGATACATAGCTTCTTCTTACCTGCGAATAAGAAAGCAGGCGGTGGACTCATTGTTTTCATCAACGGCCCTGTGCAGGAGTGTCTGGAGGCATCCACTAGGTCCGGGACCCCAGCAAGTAGCATCACAACCATGTCTGACCTGAGAGAAAACACAGATTGACACAGAGTACTCACAAATACTGCTAGTGAAGACAAAAATTTTCATTACCATCTCTGAGCTTTATGTACAATTTTTAGATCTATTTTTTCAGGCAAGATGCAACTGATAATTAACTAGTGCCATTTAGCTTTACAAACACTGATTAAAACCTGCTTGGTACGGTCTTCTAAAAGGTCCTATAGGATGGATTTGAGAAATCTAAGTCAGATATGTTCCGTCACTGCCCTCTAAAGCTGTGTTGGAGAAGGCACAGAAAACACGCACATGTACATGCATACGCATGGACTAAGAAGATCTCAATAAATTATACCTGTTATAAACAGGAAATCTCAATAACAACTGAATAAAGTTCCCAGTGCAAAATGCCATAACATGACATTACAGGACATCCAGAAAGCTAATTATCTCCACTTTTGGGTCTGTCTTCTGAACAAAAGACACAAACCTAAGATTTGGGAATTTATCAGTAGAGTAATAATGAGGGCAGTCCACATTAAATTAATCCACCTCATGATAAGCTACCTAAGGAAATGCTCTCTTGCTTCTTGGTAATTTTCTGCCATCATTGTGTTGAACTGCAAGTTTATTAAACATGACTCTGAACTGCCCATTCTTGAACCTATTTGTTACTTGGCAGATCTCTTGCTCCATAAGATTGTTATATAGGACCAAATTCATCTCTGACACATAATATCTCAAAAAGTTGAGCTTGTCTTACCAGAGTTGATGCAATGTCCTCCAGATTATTTGCCAGCGCAAGCCACAGTGGGGGGTTCCCTGACTCATCAGGCACGGACATGTCAGCTCCTCGTGTGCATATGGCATCCACCACAAGCGGAAGCTGATTTCTGATGGCCAGTTGAAGGGCTGTCTCCCCATCCTGAGTCCTGCTAGGACAATTATGCCAAAACCAATGTTTGTAGCTTGAACCAAATGATAAGGAGGCCAGAATTCACTACATCTTTTAAAAAAACTTCATTCACACTCATTAATATTCTTTTGGAGAAGCTTAACCTGTCAACAGCATATGTCCCCTGCCTTTTAGATAGTCAGGGCCTCCATGGTGGTGCAGGGATTAAAGTCTCAGAGCTTTCAAGCTATTGCCAGCCACTGCAGCACGAGTTCAATCCCCGGCCAGGAAGGTGACCCACATGGCGCAGCAGACCTCTCCTGTCTTGTCTGCTGCTCCCCTCAGCCAAGTATCTCATAGATCCACCTGTTCTGCTCCCCACTCTGCCTCTGATGAATCCTCTCATCCCCCGCACCTCTGGCCTACACCCAATACTATGCATAAATTAAAAAAAAAAAAAACCTTAAAAAGGATCATATCAATATATAGTAAAAAAGACAGCAACCAAAACCAAGGGACACCCTACTGAATGGGAGAAAATATTTGCACACATGCAACTGATAAGGGACTGATATCAAAGAGCTTACACAATGCAACAAATACAAAGAACTAGGGGGACTGCACCTGAAGGGAAAAATCAAATAGTGTCCAAAAATAAATGATGGTAAGAAAATTAAAAAAAAAGATTGAAAAGAATAATTCAAAAATACATATACATCCCTGTGTTCACTGCAGCATTATTCACGATAGCCAAGACATGGAAACAACCTAAATGCCCATTAACAGAATACTAGATAAAGGAGTCGTTATATATTTATATATATATATATATGCGCAATGGAATACTACTTAGATATTAAAAGATGAAATTATGACTTCTGCAACAACATGGACAGAATTTAATGGTAAACAAAATGTCAGAAAGTGAAAGACAATTACCAGATGATTTTGCTCACATGTGAAATATAAACAAATAAAGCAAAAGAACTAACAAAACACAACAAAAGTACCTTTTAAACTCTGTGAAAAATATGGTGGCTATCAAAGGGTAAGGGAAAAGGTTTAAAAGGAAAGGGCACAGGGTGTTAATGTGATAGTGTGATGGCGCTAGAACTTTGGTTTTGGTGCAATCAGGCATATACACATATCAAGGTGTGAAGTTGTACTCCCAAAATTTATGTAGTATTGTAAACCAATGGTAAATCAATAAAATTTTACTTAAAAAAGTTGGTCTTAAAATTGTCCTTTTTTTAATGAGATTTGTTGATTATTGAGCACTGGTTTTGAAAGGTTCCATTAAGAGCAAATTATAATTCCCCTTTGGAGCCAATGCTTGTAATCAATTACAACACTGTATTTGTATTTTTTCAGCTATTGTTGCCCTTCCTTTATTTAACAAGCAACAAAAATATCTTTATGAGCAAGGCTATGCTTTTGAACCATCTCAATTAAATGTGGCATGGCTAAAATTTGGATGGTTTCATTTCTAAGTGGAACACAGAGAAGCCGAACAAAGGAAAAGGAGAAAGATAACACTTGCAAGCTGACCACAGTTTTGAGGATACTGCAGGGAAGGGGGATAAAGAGGGGACAAAACAGGGGAGGGAAGAGCACAAGGGACTACGGAGTTAGATCACGGGTGCAATGGTGGTAGAAGAACTACAGAGAACATACCCGAGGAGAGAAAGCAAATACTGTACAGAAGTGAACACAATGTAAGAAAACAAATTTAATAAAAATAAATAAATGTGGCATGGTGCTGCAGCAGAGTGCTGTTTCAGTTTACCTGACATTTATATCCGCCTGGTGCTCCAGGAGAAATAGTGCACTCTTGCTATCCTGCCGCTGCATGGCCATGTGCAGCAAGGTCTGCCCATCAGACATGGTGTCATTGATGCAAGCCCCAGAGCCCAGCAGTTGGGCTGCAATTGTATGCATGCCTAGGAAGCAAACATACTGATTAATGCATGCACAGTATTTCCCATTTCCTCAGCATCTAACTACAACAAATATAGCCTCTCACCTTCTCAGATTTCTGCTGGATATTAAAGACTTAACCCAAACAAAAAGGCTATATACAACTAAATATTTAGCTCCAACCTCTTCACACGTCCCTATCTCACCCCCTCACCCACCGTTGTGATGTCTGCCTGTCTTCGAATGTCAACAGTCTCTGACACAGCCTTACCAGTCCATAATGCAAGGCCCAACACAGTCTGGTCTCGTGAATCCTTGAGGCTGAAGTCCGGAATGATTTGCAAATTATTGGTGGCATGAAGAGCATTAGCTAAATGTTTGAAAAGGAAAAGAACACTTATTTTACCATCCCATGGATCACACTTAAGTGTGACGAGTAAAAACCCATACATCTAATATTTTGGAGCAAAAGTTATGGAGATGAATTTTTTTAAAGCTTAAAATAATCATCACAAAAGGAAAAGAACTCTACAATGAAAACACATTACCTGATTACTGAAAAGAGGATTAAAACAATGTCCTGGCAAATTTTCCCAATACATAACTCCTACCAACATAAAACTCCTGTGAGCAAGAAAAAGGCACAATCCATCTAAAACCCCACTTCCTTCTGCAAGCAGTGCCAAAATAAACACATAAATAAATAAATAATCCAAAGGCTGGCCTAACAAGGATGCAGGAAGTGGAAACCCAAGGGTAACTTTCTGAGGGACAAAGTCTCCCCCACTACTCTCCCTGCCCTCTTTTTTCTAGCTCCTCTTTCCTGGCCCACCTGCTAGGAAGGCTCAGAGGCAGATGAGGAGTGGTGAGTGTGTGAGGACCTGCCACAGTGGCGTTCTCAAAGAAATCAAGGCAAAACTTTGCATGGCTTGGAAAATATCCCAAAGAAAGAAAGAAGTAGAGCCAAAGGTTCTAGCATCTTAACTAATAGGTGAAACGAGCAGGACTCTTTCAGAAAATGAACACAGGGAAACACAGAAGCCAGGAGCCAGAGTAGATACAGATCTAGTTTGTTTTGAAAGAGGATGTTGGTTTAGAAAATTCACCAAAGGAAGAAATATCAACTCTGTAATTTACTACTCAAAACCACTGTACACAAGTGAAGTGATGAGCTATGATTCCCAATCACATACCTTTCTGCTCCAGGATGACAGACACCACATCTGGATGATTATAGGCAATTGCCATGTGCAGCGGTGTCTGCAGGTAAACGCTGTCCATCGAGCTTGTCAGGGACGTAGCCTCCTTTGGCAAGGGTAGAGCTTCCTCTGTCTGCAGGTTTGGGTTGGCACCTTGCTGCAGGAGTTCTGCAGTGAGGTTGGCCAAACCATGCCGACAGGCCGTGTGCAGTGGGGTTTCTCCCTGAACAGAAACAAATGGCCCAAATTGGAGCAGTTTCAGACTGGGGATCCCTTCACGAAGGTATGATCACAGCCAACGTGCTGAAACACAAGTCCCCAGTGCCAGTCACAGCATGTGGCTCTTCCATCACCAGCAGACCTCCGTGACTTCTGTGCTACCCCTTCCAGTCTCCTCTCCTTCCCTTCCCCTGCACATTTTTGATTTCTTCTCTCTTTCCAAACACCCAGGCTTCTCATCCACTTCATTTCCAGTGACCTTCTTTATCACCTTTTTATAATTATTTTGCTAATTATAAAAATTTTATTATTAAATGATAACAATCAACAACGTCCAAAATACACCCATGAAACAGGGAAGAGTGTCACAATCACAGCCTCAGAGCGACGCAGTGCTCAGTTTGGCCCCACTTCTCTTCAATACCCACCAACACACCTGTGCCCTGTTTCATCTCAACCTCACCTTGAACTCTGATCAAATCTTCTCCTACTTTTTCAAATTAATATTATTTTAAATTTTATTACTGGTACTTTTGATCCAATATTCAAAGTACACAAGAATATACATTAAAGAGAAGTACCCTCTCATGCTTTGTCCCTAACACCCAATTCTCTTCCCCATAAAGAAACTATTACTGGTTTCGTGTTTCCAGTGACAGAACAATCACAGGAATCATTGTGTGTCCAAATGTGTCCCACATGATCGTTTCACCCAAACCAATGGGAACAGACTGAACATACTGTTTTGCATCTTTTTTTTCAATTTTACATACTTGTTTATTTTTTCACAATATAGGATTTCTCACCACCAAAGCACCCATAGTCCTCCAGAATAATCCACTGTGCTCTCCTATTTTTCCCCCTCCTCCTCCTCTCCTGAATGCCTTAGACCCTTGGTATGCTTTCTTGCTCTTATCAAAGTTATACATCATCATTTAAAGAACCAAAGAACTCTACAAGGCTTGTTGTGAAAAATAACAAGATCCTGCTACCTATCACCAAAAAAAAAAAAAACAAAACTCCTTTCCCAACTGAGTTTTTATAATCTTCTTATTTCTAAGTAACATGCTTTTATTGCCACCTCTAAATATTCCCTTTTCAGGCATCTCTGAGACCTGCCACAGTGGAAGATAAGGATTTAGCTCTTTCACTCCTCTCTTCCCTCTGTCCCCTCCCCACTGAGCTGTATCAGCATGGTGAGACCCTCACAGGGGTCCTCTTCTGCTCCAGCCCTTCTCCCCACAAATCGTCACTGTGTGCACTTATCTCATCTGTTCCTTTGACTTCCACCTGCAACTCAAAGCAGCAGACCCTCAAATCCATATCTTCATACAGTTTTTGCATCCAATTATCCTATTGCCTGCTAGATACTCCTGCCTGAATGTTTAAAAAGGAATTCAACAATAACAAAATTGAATCTATTCCCCCCATACCAGCTTTTCCTCCTGGTCAGGTTTTCTCTTCATGGACACATCACAACAGTTTTAAAACCTCTCTCATCCTTGCTTTTGGGGACACACTACATATAAGCAGGTATGTCCTACTAATTGTAATTCTGCAATTCCTCTGAAACATGTCCCTCTGGATCCAAATCCAAAATCAGAAGTCAGGCCAAGTCCCTGCTTATCTAGATGATTCCTAACTGGCTCCAACCTGGCCCTCAATGGTATAGCCACCATACCAGCTACTCAAGGCAGAGTTCTCAATTCTAAAATAACTGTACACAGTCAGCTCAAAACCCTTCTATGGAATTCTCTTCCCACGATAAGCCCAAAGACCTTAAACCAGCTTTCTAGACCTTTCTCCAGTATCAATCACACTTCTCATCTTACTTTCAAGTCAGGTCTTCTCTGTATGTCTCTACATTTAGGTTTCACATAGTTTTGCTACGAAGGGTTAAAAGAGACAGAAAAGCTGATAGAAACTGTGTGTTCAAGAGAGAATGTTTTAAGTTGGGAGATAATAAAGCATGTCTGCTTGTAATTAGAAATAAATATTGGGTAAAATTAATGATGCAGGAGAGACAGAAAGGAGGTAGTGGCATACTAAGATGATAAGAGGAATGAGATGCAGAGCCCAGAAAAAGAAGTGTCCTAGTACCTGGATCTTATCATTTGCTATATTATTTATGAGCCACTTAAGCTCTGGAACCTCAAAGTCCTTTACCATGCTGTAAGATATTCAAAGATGTCAAAAATATCTTTTCAACATAGGTCTATCACGAGAATTAAAAGAGAAAATATTCTTAAGGCTCCTAGCATAAAAGTTATAATATAAATATGATCTCAAAGATATGTACATCTTCCCTGTCTAAAAATAAAATAAAAACAATTATCATCTCATATCTAATATCCCAGATATTATAGTTTAAGTACATAAATATATAATTTCTTTTCATCTTAATCACACTCAATGAAATCAATACGAATCCCATTTTAGAGATGAGGAAACTGAAGCTCCAAAAGGTTAAGTAATTTGCCTAAGATCATAAAGGGAAATGAGAATTTGGTGAACCCAAGGCATGTTCAACCCATCTGTGCTTTTAACCATAACACAATACAGTTCAGTTTGTTATCTTGGTGTACAGACTAAATGAGGATGCTCATGGGCTCAGCAAATGTTGAAATGTTATAAAAATTAAGATGCTAGGAGGAGGGCCTCCTTGGTGGTGCAAGGGATAAGACACAACCTATGAAGCTATTCACAGCCACTGCAACACAAGTTCAATCACAGGGAGCTACCCACTTGGCGCATACCAGCAGACCTCTCCTGACTCGCCCGCTGCTCCCCTCAGCAGTGTATTTCAGTCAGTCTGCCTGTTCTGTTCCCCACTTTGTCTCTGGTGAATCCTCTCACCTCCCCCCACACCTCTGGCCTGTACCCCAGTTCTTGTATGCATAAATAATTAAATCTTTAAAAAAAAAAGATGCCTAGGAGGTATTTGTGTACATGTTTACTAGTATTTAATAGATCATGAAGTCCATGGTATATATTTTATTAGGTCCTAACATACAAATACTTAGGAAATGGTTGCTGAATGAACCAATCAATCAATATTTAAGGTTTAAAAAATCTGCTTCACTGATTTTTTTTTTAACCATGTGCATCTATTATTTTTACAAAAATTGAAGAATCTTCTAAACATCACCATCATCTCTTCCCACAGACCAAGACCATTTCCTCCAGCGTCCTGTCTCACTTACCCACTTGTTTCTGTGGTTGACGTGGGCACCATTGGTTGCCAGGAAAAGAGCTGCTGCTTCATTTCCTGTTCCAGCTGCCCTCTGTAGTAAGCAATTTTCTAGGAGGAAATGGGCATATTCACTCTCCATTTGCATAAAAATGAGGTCAAGTTCCACATGGTACCACACCCAACCTTCCCCATCCCCTCCAAGCCCTCACGAAAAGTTGGTACCATTTAAATCACAGACACTCTTTGAATGTGGACAGAGTCTAAGGATGAGCCTGGGCAGAGCAAAAACATTTGGATGTCAGGAGACACTCAGTTTTCTCTGGGTTTGCCACTTGCCGCTGCCCAGGATCAGAGGTAACTCTTATTAGAACTGGCTTAAAACAGTTTCTCAACAGTGGTGCTACTGATGTTATAAGCAAGACAGTCCTTTGTTATGAAGTATCTGTGCTGTACACCTTCCAATATTTAGCAGGACTTTCCCACTAGATGCCAGTAGTACCCCAACCTTGTTATGACAGCCAAAAAATATCTATAATATGTTGGAAATGTCAGGGGTGGAGGTGCCGGGTTTTGCCTTGTTTGAATACCACATGGCTAAGTGACTATTTTGAAACACTGTGACCAGAAGTTCTGTGACCAGACAATGTCCTTAAATACTTCAGCTTTTACTGCTAGGACCTTAAATATATTTGTTCTTTCCTTACAAGTGTTTTGCTTGTAATTACTCTTTTCCAGATGAAAAGCCAACACAGGGGGAAATAAAACAAACACAATTTTTTTTTCTTTTTCTTTCTAAATGGTTTTAGACATAGAGCAGTGTTTCTCCTATTACAGTCCATTTCCTTTTTGTATAAACACAAAATCTCATGACAGCTAAGCTATTTGATAACTCAAACCAAATTAAGCATCAGGACTAAAAACAAAGTAAAGAAATGGGACAAAGTGCTGTATTGTTTTCATACCATTTTTTCCTTTCCCCTCAGAGAAAGTAATTCCTTCTACCCCTTGTTGGGAGTCATTCTATTTGAGAAACTAATAATGTGAGTCCTATTTCACTTTTATGGTCATTCTATTGTGCACAAGACCTAAATTATATAGACCTAAAGATAATTATATTATCTTTTTAAAACAAAGATAATGGGTAACTGCTAAGAGATTAGGAATATGCTGAAAAAACAGCCGACTAAGGTTATTACATGTATAATAAAAAATGGAAAAAGGAAAAGATAATAATCCTGAACTTGTATAAAACTTAAAATATACAAAGTAAGACTGACAGAACAAGAAAAATGGATGAATCTATAATCTCAGAGAAAATTCTAGTATCACTCAGAAACTGACAGGTCAAATAATCTAAAAGTAAGTTAATGAGTACAATTTGAACAGCATAATGAACAAGTTTGATTTAATGGATGTGAACAGAAAATGCTGCATCCCACAATTAAAAAATGCATACTTTCATGCATACACGTCAATCTTTTATAAAAACTGGATCTAACATTCAAATACTAAATAGCAAAGAATGAAAGAACCAATCTCTTAAATGCTATAAGTTTATACGTGATTAAATTATAAATTGGTAAAATTATGGCCAATAACCAATATACGCTTGTAAATTAAAAACAATTTAATAACAATTTCATTTCTAGGGGGTCTCAGTTTAAAAACTTTTAAGAATTCTTCCTGTACTCCCTACAGTATACCACTGTATTTAGATTTAAAGCCACTAGAGGGGTGAATTCATCTGACCTTCATTAAAAGAAGCTTCTTTCATGGAAAAGGCTCTTTCAAGGCTACTTCCCCTAATTAGTGGGCATCTACCCATTACCAGCACTTAATTTATATGGAATTCCTGTCCTTAAAATGTTCCTATATTTTATCTAGTCAGATCAAGGAAATAACCACATTAAATAGTAGTTGTCAAAGTATGATATATGAATTCCAGGGGAAGATTCCTGAGTATTTTTCAGTGGCTCCATGGAGTCAAACTGTTTTCAAAATCATAACAATACTTGATGGTATTTGTTTTTCCACACTGTGTTGACATTTGAACTGGAGAGTCTTAATACCCAGTCAAAAAAAGAGCCAGATTCATGCAAGGCAGTTCTTGATAAGGCAGTAAAAATTACTATTGTCATTAAATCTCAACATTGAGCACATGTATCATTAAAATTCAGTGCAACAAAATAAGAAGTATGCACAAAGCCACATTTTCCAAGAAACAAAGCGCAATAGTTCTCTGGAGAAATAGCACGTGTGCCATAGTGTAAGTTGCAAGTTGAAGCAGTGTTTTTCAAGGAACACCATTTTTACTTAAAAGGAAGGTCAAATAGCAAACTATATTGTAATTCAAATGTATGTGGCAGTTTTTTGAAGATGCATAAATATGTTTCTTTAAGAAAAACAGTATTTTTACCCAATGATAAATTTTGATATTGCAAGTGAAATTTATAATTTTGGAAGACTTATACACAAACTTAAGTTTGACAGCTTTTCAATACTAAAAGACTTTCTGCTATGGTCAGTTGTGATAGAAACAAAAGTAATTCTAAAATAAACAAACATTTGGAAGATTTACAAGGGAATTTTGAGTTTGAAAAGTCTGAAGCTCACTGCATTAAATAAATGGAAGTGTTTTAATTTAAAGAATTTAGCTTGGAGTCTGCATAAATTTTTTGAAGCATAAGAGTAAAAAAATAAGTAGGCCTTTCATTGTCAAAATTAGGTACAAAGTAATTCTTATAATAGTAGGACACTTATTTCTAAATTTTTGGTAAAAGCATTGACATAGTATTTCAATAACCTGTGGACTTGAGCATTATCTCTTAGGGATCTGTGTTTTACCTGTTACTGTATCAGGTGCATTCGTGTTGCTGCCACGCTGAATAAGTCTGGCTGCAAAGCTATTTTCATCAAATGAAGTCCCATTTACCACAGGGAGGTCTTCAAAAGGGTTTACCGACTGGTCGGAAGACACAGTAATGTACTGCACTGCAAGCCACAGAGCAGTGCTGCCCTCATGGTCTTTCAGTTCTAAATCTAATCTGAAATAAGGAAGCAGTGTGAGTAACAAATATAATCACCTTCGGACACTCAGCCATAAACAGTCTCATTCTTTCTCTTTGTACTTTTTGAATGACAATTTTTTAAGTTTAATTATTAAAAATTATAACACCAAAAGACATTTAAAAAAATTACTTTTCACTCACAATCCCACCCTCACAACTGCTTTTTCATTTCTCCATGTCTCTCTACGTACTGTTTACACTGCAACAACTGATTGAACACGTATTCATTCCTGGCCGTAATGGACAAGTGTAAGGGAGTCCTGTAAGATGAAAAAAAAAAAAAAAAAAGAGATGTCAATTCAGGACAGGCCCAATTCAGGACTATTCATAGCAGGAGGCCTCCAGACCCCTAGGCAGAAGATCACGTAAAAGAAAAGTCTACAATTGTACAACAGTATCCTTTTCTACTAAGGCACACAGTTTTCTAAATCCATTACCAAGTAACAAAGAATGAAAATGGATTTGCTTACGTATTAGCATTTGTTTAGTGGCCAAAAGGACAGGAATCAGTGAAGAAATGTAAAATGCTCTCCAGTTAAATACTCTCCCTTAATGAATGTGTACATATTATTTTTAAAACAAGTTTCTACCACAGATACTCATATTTCCCCTGCTTATCCTCCACAACTCTGAAAATAATTTTTTTCCTTCTTCAATAATTCTCTGCATTAACCTGTCTTCAGTAGTTTTTTTTTTTTTTTAAGATTTATTTATTTATGCATCCACGTACTGGGGTATAGGCCAGGGATGCCTGTGAGAGATGCCTGGTGAGAGAATTCACCAGAGACAGAGTGGGGAGCAGTACAGGCAGACTGACTGAAATACAATGCTGCGGGGAGCAGACGGCAAGATAGGAAAGGTTTGCTGTGCCATGTGGGTAGCTCCCTGGCCAGGCAGGGATCAAACTTATGCTCATGCTGCAGAGGCTGTAGGTAGCTTTACAGTGCTGTGCTTAACCCCTTGCACCATCAGGCAGGCCCCCTTCACTGGTTATTTAGCTCTCAAGTTCTCAAGTACCCTACTGCCACTTCAGCCCCGCTCCCCCACACCCCCTTGCAGATGAGGTGGATACCTTTTTTAAACAAAAGAAAAAAACAAGGATGCAGTTACTTCTGGGAATTAAGGTAATTACTATATGATATTGAGAGTTCATGGAGATCCATTGTATTAAAGTACTCTATCCATCACACAGTTCTGACAACTTCACAGACCTCTTAGTTTTTGAGAACTTTCAAAGGTTTAAAATATTGTGTTGAGGTGCTATGATGAAATGTGGGTTCCACCTGTTACTGATTCAGGTGATTTAACTCCCCTTTATTACCTCCCACACTCTATCCCCAAACAAGTGACCCTATCTTACATTCCTAACCAATTGGAATCTTCAATTAAAAATTTCTGGGAAGGGCAAAAGGAACACAATAACCACTGACAAATACACAAAAGGTGTTGCTATGGAATAAGATGCCAAGCTCTGCACATAGAGTTGTCTTTTAAAGTGCGAATATTTATAAGAAGGTAGAATTGGTAATACAGAGAGCTTTCCAACACCTTTCCAGACCTCACAGAAATAAAAGATTGCCTTGAGATAGTGTTCTTGTCTTCAAAATTTCTAAGTAACTTTAATAAAGGTGCTAGAAGATTTGTTTGGAAGAGTTGAACCAGACAACTACTCCGAAGATAAAAATCCAAAGACCTCCATTACCCAAGATGGAAATGGCTTTCCTAAATGCCTTTTAGGTAAAAACCTTTGCATAACAGATCAGCTTATGACTTAAAAAATCAGACTGAATAATGTCACACAAAAGGAAATGAAGTCCCTGTCTGCCAGTTATGTGCCACCATAAAATAACCTTCTGGATTATTCTGCACTCCAACTTACCTGCCTTTGCTGTCCTGCATGTTGGGGTTGGCACCAGCCTGCAGGAGGGCCTCTGCAATTTGTGCCATCTCAGACATCACATCTGCTGAGTGTTTCTTTGAACTGTACAATGCCACAAGGTGCAACGGTGTCTCCTGGGCACCCACAGTGGCAGCATTGACAAGGGCCCCATTCTTGATGAGGAAAGTGGAAGAGAAGAGATCTCCTTGAAAAGAAATAGAAGAATGTGGTCACAGATGGCAAAACCCAGGGCAAACTATTCAGGTCTATGATTAATCACAAAGGCACTGGTCAATAACTGCAGACAAACAATGAGGGATAAGTAAATGTGTTTGAAGTGGAACCTCTTGGGACTTCTATAAGTGAAAACTCACCACTGAAATCATGGAGTTACATATCTAATTCAAAAGACGTCATTCAATTTCTAGTTACCTGTCATCTGTCCTGTTCTCTCACCTCACTATCACTTCACAACTTAATACCAGACTTCTAGTCTTCAAAGGTTTCTTCTAGTCAACTCTCAAAAAGGGTTACAAGATTCCTTCTAAGCACAATTTCCCTCTTTCATTTCTTTTCTTTCTTTCTTTTTAATATTTAAAGAGCAGGTTTATTGGGGAAAGGGACAGAAGAGTAAAAAAGACACTTGCATAGACACAAGCGGACAGGAAGAGCTGCCCTGAAAGGGACAGATTTGCTGAGAAAGGCCTGCATGGTTGCAGGGGGAGGCCCTGAGGAGAGCTGCCTCTGCTGAGGGAGGTCAGTGAAGAGAAGTCCCGACATAGTACAGGTCATGGGCAGGCAGGAAGGCCACTGCCCTGTGGAGGGAGAGAATGGTGAAAGGAAGCATCTGCAGTCACAGATGGGCAGAAAGATTGCTGCCCGCTTTCTCATTTCTTGACCAACGTCTGCATCTAACTCTTACCTCATATCTACTATACCTGAATATAATTTCCTGTTCAGAGTAAGATCATGTCTGATTTGTTCTTTTCATTTTCTCAATCTCACTACATATAAACACAACAGTCTTAGTAAAAAGTTTGGAAGAGAATATTTGAACAAAAATCTGTATCTGCTACTATTTACAAAAAATTCACATGGTAGGGCCTCCCTGGTGATACAAGGATTAAGACACAACCTATAAAGCTATCCGCAGCCAATGCAGCATGAGTTCGATTTCCAGCCAGCCAGGGAGCAACCCACATGGCGCAGCAGACCTCTCCTGACTCGCCCGCTGCTCCCCTCAGCAGTGTATTTCAGTCAATCTGCCTGTAATGTCCCCCACTCTGTCTCTGGTGAATCCCTTCAACCCCCACACACCTCTGGCTTGTACCCCAGCTTTTGTATTCATAAATAAATCTTTAAAAAAAATTCACATGGTAAATTAACTGTCAAAAAAAAGAAAATCTTCTAAGTCCCTTCTGTTGCCTTATACTAATTAGAATATTACATTAGAATGTTATAGATAGAAGCGTCTACCTAGGACTATTTACAAATACCAAACTAAGACTGAATAATGTACATAAAATCTAACAATTTCAATAGTTCAATCTACCATCTTTGACTATTCAGTACTCCTTATGAGGGGGAAAAAACCCTCCCTGGACATCATCACAAAAAGTCAAGAATTAAGTTTATGAACAAATATTAAAGGTATACAATTCCGAAAATACTTCGTCAAATAACGGTTAAAAAAAAAAAAAAAAAGGTGACTCTAGATTGTTTCTGTGAATACATGGCTAAATTCAGAAGCCAGCAATCTTATAAGAGGCAATTTACATTTAAAACACTTAGGGGGGGCCTCCCCGGTGGCGCAGCGGTTGAGCGCTGGGTTGCGAAGCTGCCCGCGGCCTCTGCGGCGCCGGTTCGATCCCCGGCTGCTCCCCGGCCACCGGAGGAGGATCCCACATGGTGCGCAGACCTCTCCTGCCACCCGCTGCTCCCCTCAGAAGTGTACTTCAGCCCTTCTGCCTGCTCTGCTCCCCGCTCTGGCTCTGGTGAATTCTCTCACCCTCCCACGCTTCTGACTGTACCCAGTGCATGTATAAACAAAAACAAACAAATATAATAAATAAATAAATAAAAACATGCCTCTATTTAAAAAAAAAAAAATAAATAAATAAAACACTTGGGGGGCCTCCCCGGTGGCTCAGCGGTTGAGCGCTGGGTTGCAAAGCTGCCCGCAGCCTCTGCAGCGCCGGTTCGATCCCCGGCTGCTCCCTGGCCACTGGAGAAGGGTCCCACATGGTGCGCAGACCTCCCCTGCCACATCCGCTGCTCCCCTCAGCAGTGTACTTCGTCAGTCTGCCTGTTCTGCTCCCCACTCTGGCTCTGGTGAATTCTCTCTCACTCCCGTGCTTCTAACTGTACCCAGTACTTGTATAAATAAATAAATCTTTAAAACAAAAACCAAAGTAACATAAGATAATAAATTATTTTTTAAAGATTTATTTTTATTTATGCATAGATGAACTGGGTTGTAGGCCAGAGGTGCAGGGGGTGAGAGGAATCACCAGAGACAGAGTGAGGAGCAGAACAGGCAAATCTACAGAAATACACTGCTAAGGGACACAGCGTGCAAGACAGGAGAGGTCTGCTATACCATATATGGGTGAGCTCCCTGGCCAGGGATCTAACTCAGGCCAAAGTGGTGACAGCGTGATAGTGCTGAGACTTAACCCATATGACACCAGGGAAGCCCCCTAGATAATAAATTATGAACAGAGAAATCATCCAGACATAAATGCACAGAGTATGCTGTGAGTGGGAGCAGTTGCTTCTTTCAGTGGCCTCCAGGTGGCACCACATTAGTTGACACCAGGAAGTTGTAAATCAAACTCAGGCCGCAAGTGTAACTTTGGTGAGTGTGCCAAAGAACATATCCAAGCTATCCCTAGAGCTCATGTAGTTTCTAAAGGTACTTTTGCAAATCTGGTCTCCATTTCACCAAGGTCCATAGGAAAAATTTCTTACAAGTTACATCATTCCTCAGTTGGAAAACTCTCAGCTGATTTTTCCCTTTCTTACATAGTTATTTATAAAAGGTGGTTTTCTTTTATATCTTGCAATGTCATTTCATCTTCAAGTATACTTCTATATCTGAACATCTAGAATGAAGATAACTTCAGGAATTATTATCTATAATCCTATACTCATTTTCATCTTCAGTAAAACTTCAGAATTACCTGGTTTTCAATGCTTCTCCTCTACTCTAACTTTCTTACCAAGGGAAGATCTTGCTAAAGATGTGAGTTCTGGAAATGAGGTGGCTAGGCAACCATAGGCTCCTTAAATGCTGACTGGTCCATGTCTGATTTACTTTTGTATTCACCACTGTCTTTTTTTTTTTTTTTTTTTAAGATTTATGTATGTATGCATTTATTTACTTGTTTATTTGTTTATTTATTTATGCAAAGAAGCAATGGGGTATAGGCCAGAGGTGTGGGGCAGGGGATGAAAAAGATCCACCAGAGAGAGAGAGTGGGGAGCAGAACAGGCAGATCTAATGAAATACACTGCTGAAGGGAGCAGCGGGCGAGACAGGAGAGGTCTGCTATGCTGTGTGAGTTAGCTGCCTGGCCGGGATGGAATTCAGGCAGCAGTGGTGATAGTGCTAAGACTTAACCCCTACGCCACTAGGGAGACCCTCACCACTGTCTTAATTAAAAAAACACCAAAGAAATGTTTGGGAAGAAAATAGATTGACTGATTGAGGTTCCCTTTTAGCAGAATGGTTCTAATTCCAGTCAATTATATCTTTAGGTGACTTAAGACTTCTCCAACAGGTCTCCTGTGAGATATTTCATTCTTCTGTCCCAAATTTTTTCTTGGGGGGAGGCAAGAGGAAGAAAGGTGCAATTATTACCAACACCATGTGCAAAGAACCAAAACTTGGATTTCTTTACAATAAAAAAAAGAGGTAGAGAGTTCTGTAAGCCACAAGTAACATGGGGATAGCAGGGGTCTAGGCTGGGTCAGGCCTTTGCTACCCATATAAGTAGTATACCCATATACATAGGGATTCTCAGTAGGATTCTTAAGAGTAGTATGAACAAACCCCTCTGTGATTCAGCAGAAGAAAGAATATGTAAAAGTAATACAGTCACAAAAGAATAAAATACCCTAGAGAAAGCCACAATCTGGAAATGAAAGGGAATTTTATAATTATTAGGGCAAAATGAAAAGTCTGATATATGTGTTTTTACTACTGTTAAGTCTAACATCTATTCCAAATTAATAAACAGACAATAAAGTTAAAACAAGGTAATGAAAAATGTATGATATACTACACATGTGGAAACTAAATTGGGCAATAATGGATACAGAAATAACGATACAGGAAAACCTATCAATAGTTGGGTTCAACAGAAGGCCTAATAAAAATTTTCTTTATATCTTAAGCCCTTTTATAAGAATTACAGCTTTTAGATTAGATTTATTTTACTAATAAGAGCCAGATTTATACACATGTATGTATATACATATATACTCTACATAGTTATTTAAGAATTATTAGAAATTGAAAATTGATGTTTTACACTAAAAGAAAGGGAACCCTGGTACATGATCTAGAGGAAAAATAATTGATACCAAAAGAGCAGAACAAAGGATAATAGAAAATGCCCAAAAAGCTCCATTCAGTTTCTGTCAATTAAAAAAAAAAACAGGGGGCCTCCTCCCTGGTGGCACAAGGGTTAAGACGCAACCTATGAAGCTATCCAAGGCCACTGCAGCAGGAGTTCGATTCCCGGCCATGAAGCAACCCCCACGGTGCAGCAGACGTCTCCTGACTCACCCGCTGCTCCCCTCAGGAGTGTATTTCAGTCAATCTGCCTATTCTATCCCCCACTCTGTCTCTGGTGAATCCTCTCACACATACCCCCCACACCTGTACCCCAGCTCTTGTATGAATAAATAATCTTTAAAAACACAACAACAACAACTTTGAATACATTTTAGAAAAGTTTCCATCAAAACCAGTTAAAATAAAAACTATCTGGGGCTTAAAAATTTCAGTAACTGGGGCCTCCCTGGTGGCACAGGGGTTAAAGTCTCAGAGTTACCAAGCTGTCTCCAGCCACTGTGGCCTGAGTTTGATTTCCAGCCAGCGAGTGAATCCACATGGCAAAGCAGATCTCTCCTATCTCATCCGCTGCTCCCCTCAGCAATGTATTTCAGTCAATCTGCCTGTTCTGCTCCCCACTCTGTCTCTAGTGAATCCTCTTACCCCCAACACCTCTGGCCTATACCCCAGGTTCTTGTATGCATAAATAATAAAATAAAAAAAATTTTCAGTAACTTCTGCACCTCATTCACTGACACATGTAAATGAGGTATTATTATATATAATAGTGCCCACATAAAAATATTCCTAACACAACAGTTAACAGAGAAAAAATACACATGTAATTTTTCTTTCAATGCAGTTTCCTTACAAAAGCTTTATTCAAACCACCACCAATAACATTATTATTTAATTAATACAAACTATCTCATGCTGTTCCAGTTGGTGGCATCATTTGCAAATTTACTATAAATAATTAGACAGGAACATCTTATTTAAGAAATCCACTCACTGATGTTATTAACAAAAACAAGAACCAGATTTTTTTATAAAAGCAGGTATTCATTCTTGTCCAGATTCAGATCATCAGAGTTGGCACCCCTATGGCCATAAAATACACTACCTGTGGACTTGCTCATACACACTGGCTGCCTACTTCACTTTTCCTACATTGATTAGTACATCATTACTAGGATGATCACTATTTACCAAGATTCTAACATGTGTCCAGAACCAGACCTAAATCTCATAAAGATCTTCACTCCTATTATAAGTTTAGTTGTTAAATTTTAAATATATTATAAATCATTTGGTCAGGCCAACAGATTGACAGTTTAAGTTGGAGAAGGAAAAATGAAAACAATTCTTGAGAAATTGGAACTGGTAATGACATTCCAACTCAGGAATAAGAGCAGAGCCTTGGCCGACCCTAACTCTTAGATCTCACAGTATTAAGAATGCTACTAACTTTGTTTCTCATTCTCCCAACAACCAGTAGCAGAAGTGATTCCCACTTTACAGATGAGACTTGGAGTAATTAAGTAACTCGCCAAAGGTCACAGACTATGTGGCTGAGCCAGGATTTAGACCTCAGTAGATCCCAGCTCCCATGCCAGTGCTCTGTCCACTACCCCATGCTACATTCTCCTAAGTTAACAACAATCAAGTTTATCAGATCCACAATGTAATCCATAGGCTTGCAGGCATCTGGTAACTCAAGAGTGGAAGATTAAATCGTCTGGAAATAAGCATCAAAAATGCAAAAAAGTTCTTGGCAATTCTTGTAACTAAGCAATCACCAAAATATTTAATAACTTGTCAAAGATGTTTGTTCATCAAATACAAGAATTTAACTCCCTACGAAGAAGGAAACATAATTCTGAGATTGTTTTTTTTTTTTTTAGTAACAAGTGTATTTGTTTCCAAAATAAACACTGCAGACACTAAACAGTATGGGAAAGAATAATTCCCTACGTGGTGGAAACTTTCCCCACTCAACACACACCCAGTGCTAAGTACCCAGCAGCTTTGCGCAGTGCAAAGTGGTACTTGGGAAAAATGCATCTGCTATTGACACTGACATCTCTAAGGGTTTCCCACCCAATGATGAACAAAATTTTCCTCTCCATCAGCCAGCAAGCTTAACACTCTAACACATGGCTCAGAAGGATATCTATATTAAAACTTTTGCCCAAAAAGGACAAAGCCACAGCTATAAGAGGATCACATTTGAAATAACTACACCCTACCAAGTAAGAGCAACCCTATGAATAGCGAAGTGTAGCAGAGACAATAAAAATACTTAAGTGAGGGTAAATATACATAATTAAGATGTGAGGAAACCAGTATATTCTTTGATATCCACATGTGAACAACAAAGTAGTCATGGCCAAGTACTTTGAGTAAGCCATCTATCTCTCTATAAAATTAAGGTTTTGACATTTCTGAGAGCTTCATTCCATACTAGAGCTCTACCTCTATGTAGATTTTCAGTCAAAATGACAACTGCAAAGCAGAATCAGGAAGGATCCATTTGGGACTTAAAAATTAATAGGGCCGTGGGAAAAACAAAAGACATACTTTTTCCCTTGAAAATTTAATCCATTAAGATAAAAGTATCTTGATCTTTATTCTATCACTTCCATATTCTTCCCACCATTGGTGACAGTAGCTACAATTTCAAGTAACTTTTCCAGAACAAAATGGAATGTACAGGTTTGCCATGATAGATGTATGCTCTGACTTCTCCAAGACTATGTTGAAACAGTGGTGGTTTGATACTTTCCCTCTTATAGTAATTGATACAAGTCTTCCTAGCACAATTTCTGAAGAAAATCATATTGAATAAGCAAACACATCAATTGCTTACAAGAAAAAGATACTTCTTCTGAAAGTATCATCTTTCTAGTTTTTCATTTTCTTTTTTTTTTTTAATGATTTATTTATTTGTGCATACAAGAGCTGGAGTGTAGGTCAGAGGTGCAGGGCATGACAGGATTCACCAGAGACAGTGGGGAGCAGAACAGTCAGATCTGCTGAAATACACTGCTGAGGGGAGTAGCGGGCAAGCCAGGAGAGGTCTGCTGCGCCATATCGGTTGCTCCTGCTGACAGGGGATCAAACTTGTGCTACAGTGGCTGGCGATAGCTTGATAGTGCTGTCTTTAACCCCTGTGTCACCAGGTAGGCCCTTTTCTTGTTTTTCCTCTTGGGCTCTGTTGATTCTCTGAAGTTTACTGATATGGTGTAGGCAACAGCTCTTCAGTTCCTCCTCTGACCCAATGATCACAAATTCTCAATCATGTAGCCCATGAATACAGGCTCAAGAAGTCTTTGAAAATGTGTGGAACAGGGTCAGAAAGTCCTTAAAACTTACTTGGGCAAAAGTAAAACTGCCTGCAAAGAAAAATATAAAACATACTTTTTCCTACCTCTCTGGATTCCTTTATGTAACAAGCTCCAGCCATTCTTGTCTACCATATCCACATCAGCTCTGTGACTAACCAATGTGGAGGCAATACTCTCTAGTCGTCGTGAAAGGGCTAGATCTAAAGCAAGATCTCCATTATGATCCACTTCATTCAGCTTCCCAGGGAGCTGTACAGATAAGTTTGTAAATTAGCACCCAGCATAAAGAAAATATGACTCATTATAATATTTCCCATGTTGGCCTTTAAATACCACCTCTTATACAAATGACAAATTTTAATGCTATAACACTGTACCCCATATTCAACTGAATTCACAAACATCCCTTAGGCCTCTTCAGGGCACATGCCTTTCAGGGAGCACAGATATGACAAGAAGCACAGAGCAAAAAATACCATGGAAGACAATGCCAGGACCAAGGGGAAAGTGCTGCTGGAAAACAAGGGCCAGAGCAGAGGTTCAGAGAGTCTGAGGAGAAATAGCTAACATTATTGTGAAAGACCATGGCTGAACTACACTATTTCTCCTAGCAATTAATTATCTCCCCCACATATGGGACACCAAGGATATAACATACTACACTCCTGTGTGTTAGAGCAACTGCATTTCTTAAGGCAGTGTGGTAGGCAAAGTAACAGCCCCCAAAGATGTCCACCTTGATTTTAGAATGGTGTTGCCCACAGTCAACTACAAAACTGTAAGAGAACAAAATTTTTTGTTGTTTTAAGTTAGTAATTCTGTGGCAATTTTTCACAACAGCAAAAGAAATTTAAAACAGATTTTGGTTCCTGGAAATTGGGTACTGCTGTAACAACTACCTAAAAATGTGGAAGGAGCTTTAGAATGGGGCAAATGGGCAGAGGCTGGAAGCATTCTGAGGAACATGACAGATAAAGCCCAGATTGCCTCAAACAAACTGTTAGTGGAATAAATGTACAATTAAAGACTGCCAGTGATGGTTCAGAAGGAAGTGAAGAACACTACAGAGAAAATCAAGCAAGACAAAGCTTTGGAAAAAGATATGAAAAATGGAAATAACAACAGACAGTACCTGTGAATCCATTTCAATTAGATAAAGGAAGACCACATCTTCTCTCTCCACTTTGATAGCTTTATGCAGTGGGTACTCAGTCTTAGATTTGATCATTTTATATAGCAACTGAGCACTCATGCTGCTGAAGTCCTCCTTTCGTAAATCATCCTAAGGATAAAGTGGAAGGCAAAACAGATTCAACATAACAATAACAACAACTGATATTTATTAAGCACTTACAATGTGTCAGGTCCTACTTTAACATTTCCCAACTCATTTAGTCCTCATGAAAACCCTATAAAGGAGATACTAAATACATTATGATCTTCACTTTAGAGATGAAAAAAGTATAGTATAAAGAGGTAAAATAACTGGGCCAAGAGGTCTATCTTCTTACCCTCTGTTCTTTTTTTTTCACCCTCTGCTCTTAACCACAGACCACTGTGCCTTCAGTGAGAAAAACACAAGCAAAACCAACACCCAGCAAGGTCATCCCATGCTCTGTGAGGAGCCATTCACATGAGAAGAGAATTCTTTACCCCCCAACCTTACAAAATGACTATTATAGGTTAATAGAAACTTCTACAAAAAATTCAACTGATTCACAGTTGGTCTCTACTATTGCAGCTCTCTCTATGTATTTTTACCTATTTTAGAAAGGTTACCTATTTTAGAAAGGTTACCATTCTTTATGAATGTTTCAATTTTTAAAAGTTCTATTTTAAAATTTAGTTCTTGAGGCCTCCCTGGTGGCATAAAGGGTTGAAATGCAGCACTGTGAGGCTATCCAGCAGCCACTGCAGGTGACCCACATTGCTCAGCAGACCTCTGCTGTTAAGTGTGCTGCTTCCCTCAGCAGTCCATTTCAGTTGGTCTGCCTGTTCTGCTCCCCACTGTCTCTGATGAGTCTTTCCCCGCCCCCCACCCCGCATCTCAGGCCTGCACCCTAGCTCTTGTATGCATAAATAAATCTTTAAAAATAATAATAAAATTTAGTTCTTTTAGATGATTTTTCATCACTCTGTTGTAGAAGCTTATTTATAAAACAGCACTCATCATGATTTAAAATGAGAAAGAAATGCAAAAACTACTTTGTTAGGAAGAAAACTACCTCAGAAGAGCAAATCTAAATTTAATAACAGTTTCTTCACTGATGGAGAAAGCAAGGAAAGCCATGATGGTGTTGCCAAGTATTATGGGCCTCCTGGCCCTACAGTAGCACCTGCCCCCATGGCTCACTCATAGCTTCTGCAGAGGGAGGGTGAAGGCAGGTGTGCCTTCACTCGATGTCTGTTTCTTGAGCTGAGCGACCTTCTGCTCCTCCACTTAGAAATCATGATACTCTGGAACTTTTAGGGTCAGAAAGAATCTCATAGATCTAAAATGAACTGCTAGCCTTCAGTTTTGTAATATGAGGTAACTAGGGGCCACAGAGAAAATTGGTATGATGAAAGCAAATTCCCAACCCTCAGGTCTTCTGACTTCCAACGAAGATTTTTGTCCACACCCCTCAATCTCTGACTCACCCAATGACTTGCAATAATTTCTGCACAGTAGTTCATCAGTGTGCTGGCATTCAGTTCCTCTGCAGTCTGATAGAAGCGAATACAGTTCCTGACATTCACCAGGGACATCACACCCTTCTCACATCTACAACAGAATATTAATGATGAACAGTATTATTAGAACAAATATATCTAAATGAATAAGCCAAATCAGTAATCTATGTACTGGCTGGCTATGTCCAATAACAGTAAATAAGGTTAAATAAAGTAATTATGAACAAATTATAGCTGAGTTCCCACATTTTAAAAGTACTAGATATTATATTGCTCATTTGGGTCAGAATCAAAATAACATGTTACTAAGCATAATCCCCAACTGCTTTAAAAAGTAATCACATGAAGCTTATTGATCATATACATAGGCAATTGGTAAAATCAAATACACATGGATCAAATTCAGTCCTTTGATATCTACTTATATGGGGCACATTTGTAGTTCCCACAGCATAACTCTATCATGCAACCAACATGGCTCAGAAATAGCTTCAAATATGAGGTTCGATGCTTCAACAAATTAAGCTCCTTAAATGTCCTCCCAAAGGATGAACTATATGGTATGTGAATTATAACTGAATAGAGCTATCTAACAAAAGACCACATTACAACAAAAAAAATCTATCAAGTATAATTGAGTCAGAGGGGAGATGACTGTCAAGTGGTCCTTCCATATTCCTAACAAATCAATTCCACCTCCAAGGGCAGCAAAGAAGAATGGTGTCAGGGGTATTTCACAACACACCATCATTGCTTCTTCTGGCCTGTGGCCCCCCAGAAAGGGCAGAATGTAGTACTTAGAGCAAAATGAACTGTGAGGCAAGAACTGAGTTGCAATCAACTGGACTTCAGAGGCCAAATTACTTGAGATGTCTGCTCCTGTCTCCTCCTTTGTAAAATAATAATGCTCAAGTTCAGAGGTTTGGAGGATCTGTGTATTTTTCAAGATAAAGTAAAACTACATATACTTTGCATAGTACAAGGTACATTAAAATGTTTTTATGTTTGAGGTGCTCTCCTTCTCTAAGGTCTAAAATTCCTTCACTAAGTGACAAGCATAAAAGGAAAAGGCATAATTTAATACTTAATTAAGAATGAGTTTCAGGGGCTTCCCCGATGGCGCAGCGGTTGAGCGCTACTCTCAGCCTCTGCAACACCAGTTCGATCCCCAGCTGCTCCCCGGCCACCGGAGGAGGGTCCCACATGGTGCGCAGACCTCTCCTGCCGCCCGCTGCTCCCCTCAGCAGTGTACTTCGGTCCTTCTGCCTGCTCTGCTCCCTGCTCTGGCTCTGGTGAATTCTCTCACCCTCTCTCGCTTCTGACTGTACCCAGTGCTTGCATAAATAAATAAATAAATAAATAAATAAATCTTAAAGGGGGGGAAAAAAAAAAGAATGAGTTTCAGTACTATTATCAGTAAGAATAACTGACTGGTGCCTCCCTGGTGGTGCAGCGGTTAAAATCTCAGCGCTATCAAGCTATCCTCAGCCACTGCAGCATGAGTTCGATCCCCAGCCAGGGAGCTGACCCACATGGCCCAGCAGACCTCTCCTGTTTCACCCGCTGCTCCCCTCAGCAGTGTATTTCAGTCGATCTGCCTGTTTTGCTCCAACTCTGTCTTTGGTGAATCCTCTCACTACCACCACCTCGTCCCTCCCCCCAACCCCCCTCCCCCCTCCCCAGCTTAGACCCCAGTTCTTGTTTGTATAAATAAAATAAATCTTTAAAAAAAAAAAAAGAGGGCCTCCCTGATGGAGCAAGGGGTTAAGACGTAACCTATGAAGCTATCTGCAGCCACTGTAGCATGAGTTTGATCCCCGGCCAGGGAGCTACCCACATGGCATAGCAGACCTCTCCTGTCTTGCCCGCTACTCCCCTAAGTAGTGTATTTCAATCTGTCTGTTCTGCTCCCCACTCTGTCTCTGGTGAATTCTCTCACCCCCCACACCTCTGGCCTGTACCCCAGTTCTTGTATGCATAAATAAATAAATCTTTTTTAAAAAAAAAGGAATAACTGATAGGCTAGCAGTTAATTGCCTGTTTTAAGCAGGGAGATTTACGTAACAGAAGTGGAAAAGAGCCATGGGAAAACTGGGGGAAGACAGGAATCATGAGAAAGACCTGGGAAGAATGAGGAACACTCAAAACCTCAAAATGAGACTTTAGGCTAAACAGAAGAAAGAATAATCATGGAGCCATTTCTCCATCTAGTGGTAAATATAGGCACCTATTTTATTCCAAGATCTATGCTTAAGTGCTTTGTTTTTAAGTAACATAGCTGGCTTAGTTTAAAGGAGCACCTCCCCAGGAAACTTTTAAATCAAATTGTTATAATAACTAAGTAAGTTACCTTAATATGAAATCAGAACTTAAATATCTTTGATCCTATAGCACCAGTCTCACCACACTCATACCATACCACAGTTTGACTAAGTCCTCTTCTCTTTACATATATATGAAACTTTTACCACGACAAAAACTTTTATCATGGCATGTGCTTGCTATCCAATATCTTAACACAAGCTATGCTCTCAGGAAGTATTAACTCACATTTGTAGAGCACTTTACATAGCACTTTTATAGGCAAAAACCAAGAATCTGAAAATTCCATTCTGCTTTCTACTGACACAGAACATTGCATCTAGCGTCTCAACTATGTTTCCTGATGATTTGTTATAAGTGGGAGTCTTGTAGTTAAACTCTGGGATCCCCAGAGTGCCATTCATTATTTGGATACTCTGTAAACATAACTGACATGATTTATACAAGTGACGAACATGTAATCTTATTTTCAAATTCAGATTCTCAGTTCATAGCTTCTCTCTGAAGAGTAGCAAGACAGACTAACTTACCTCTAGAGGGAATGCTTTTGTTGGTTATACATTTTTTTTTAATTTTAGAGCCCAAAAATGTTAGATGCCAAAAACCAATATTTTAAATTTATTTTTAAAATACAAAATCAAGCAGATATGTAAGCATACTACAAACTCCTGTCTAGTTTTGGTATCAATTCCTTGTGTACAAATATGAGAGACAGAAAAATTATTCAAAGGATAAAAAACAGAAGGTTAACACTGATTGAGTTACAAATAGCTTAGTTTTTCAAAGAGAAACCCTACCGACTGGGAGAAAATTTTTGCACCCAACACCAATGATAAAGGACTGATCACAAAAATCTACAAAATGCTGATGAGACTCAACAAAAACAAAGAAAATAATCCAGTCAAAAAATGGGCAGAAGAGCTAAAAAGAAACTTCTCTGAAGAGGAAATACAAATGGCCACCAGGCATATGAAAAAATGTTCAACATCACTTGTAATCAGGGAAATGCAAATCAAAACTACAATGAGATACCATCTCACACCAGTGAGAATGGCACATATTTAAAAAACTAGCAACAACAAATGTTGGCGAGGTTGTGGAGAAAAAGGAACTCTCCTGCACTGTTGGTAGGAGTGCAAACTGGTCCAACCACTATGGAGAGCTGTGTGGAGATTTCTGGACCTACTAAACATAGAGCTTCCATATGATCCAGCAATTCCACTCCTGGGTATTTACCCAAATGACACAGAAACATCAATTCCAAAGAGCACCTGTACCCCTATGTTTACAGCAGCACTATTTACAATAGCTAAGCTGTGGAAACAACCCAAATGCCCAAAAATAGATGACTGGATCAAGAAGATGTGGTACATATACACCATGGAATATTACTCAGCATTCAAAAAAGATAAACACATGCAATTTGCAGCAACATGGATGGAGCTGGAAGAGATCATGCTCCGCGAAATAAGCCAGAAAGAAAAAGAAAAATACCGGATGGTCTCACTCATAGCAGGAATCTAGAAAACTTAAATAAGGGACCAGGAAAAAGAATAACTACAAGAAAGAAAATATCAAAATCAACAAACAACTATGAACCAGAGACACTCTATGGGGGGGTGAGGGGGGGGAAGGAGGGGTTGGGGTCAAAATAAGGGGGTTGTAATTGTATGGGGAATATAAAAATAAAATTTAAAGGGCCTCCCCGGTGGCGCAGCGGTTGAGCGCTGGGTTGCGAAGCTGCCTGCGGCCTCTGCAGCTGGTTCGATCCCCGGCTGCTCCCCGGCCACCGGAGGAGGGTCCCACATGGCGAGCGGACCTCTCCTGCCGCCCGCTGCTCCCCTCAGCAGTGTACTTCGGTCCTTCTGCCTGCTCTGCTCCCCGCTCTGGCTCTGGTGAATTCTCTCACCCTCCCGCGCTTCTGACTGTACCCAGTGCATGTATAAACCAAACAAACAAACAAATAATAAATAAATAAATAAATAAGACATGCCTCTAGAAAATTTAAAAAAAAAAAAAATTTTAAATAAATAAAAAAAATTATTAAAAAAAATTTAAAAAAGAACATTTTCCTGTTAATACCGAAAACCTCCTTTTCATCAGACTGGTAGAGAGCATGCCAAATCATCAAATGTGAGCAACGCCTGCATCCTATTTAATGACACATGTTTGTGGCAGAGCCTGTTCACTTTTTATCACAAATATAACTTCTACTGACAGCAGTGGGCACTGTGCAACCTTTTCAAAGCCAACATTTGAATCCACTCCTGGGTCTCTTCCATCCCAGCTCTCAACAAAGCAATGACAGATAACAACGTAATGCCCCAACCAACACACAAAATAGAGCATCTGGTAATGTTGGTAGTTATAGAGCCTAATCAGTCACTAAACAACCACATTTTAATTAAGGAATCTATTACACAGATTACAATCATTTAAAGTACCCCAACCCCAAAACATATTTATCAAAGCAATTTAATTTACAAGCAAGTCTGAAAAGGTCAATGGCAGAAAACAAGCTCAGGCAATCTGGAAAAAAAAAAGATAAATTACACTCTATCTAATTAAAATCAACCTCATCTCACTCTCAGATGGTTCAAAAACTCACCCAAACAAACAAATCAAAGAATAAAGAGAATTTAGCTTGCTGACCTAATATCACATATGCCTATAAACTTTAGATCTTATTTGTTTTAGCTATTGGATTTAGGGATTAAAATGTGCTCAAACCCATATCGATTATAGATAGACAGAAGTAACCTGCATACTGACTCACGTGGGGCTTAGTGGGCCACCCCATGGGAAAAGCAGCCTCACAGTGAAAACAGAGCAGGCAGCTCTAAGTAACAAGTCTCTCTTGGCAACACAGCAACAGGTGGAGTGCCTCTTGAAGGCTGAAACCTTCTTTTCACCCACCCAGGAGAAAAGCCATTCCTTCATACACCCGGGAGAATACAAAAGATCACTAAATGATATAAAAACACAACCCATCCACCAAGCTGACTAGCAAGGGCTACATTTCTAACAGAAACCAAAGGACATTTTGCCTGACATCATTTGGTGACCATTTTCTTTTCTACTATTCTAAAGACCAACTTGGGAAAGCAACAGAAAATGCAATACACAAAGCATAGCAGGCTATCTCCTTGGGAAACTAGAAAGCAGTAACTTAAATAAAATGAGATCTCAGAAACATTGGGTATGAACTTACAGAAGCATACACTTATACTTTAATTTAGGCACTAATGTGTTTCCAACAAGGAGAATATGACCAAAGACTTCATCTGAGTATATACATCACAAAGTAAAATAAAATGTTAAAGGAAACGGTACAGGGGGAAAGTTTAGGGTTTCAACACCAGACTACATTATTTCATATTCAGTTTATCAATTCACACAATTATATAATCTCAGATAATAAACAAGTAAAAGAAAAGATACCTAAAAGTATCAGTAAAATTTAGCTTACAGGATAGTACAAAGCAAGGGAGATTAAATACTCTCCCCACTATCACCTTTAAAAGAACACCTTGCAAAAGTTATTTACATTAGCAGAAGAAGCTGTTTTCCCAGAGCTTGGCATAATTAAAGCTCAGCCACCACCATCTGAGGTGCTTGAATATATCTGCTGTGACTTGCCTCTCCCTAAGGAGCTGTAGTTGAAACCGATTAGCTAGTTTCATCAACTCAGTCAGGAACACATCATCTTCTCTGAACTCCAACTCATCCGTATAGATCCAGCGAAGCATTGTCATTGTCACCTCAGGATTAGCATCTGTTTAAAGAAAGACAGCAGAGAAGCTGAAAACAAAGTACTGATGACATACTTAGGCCTTCCGGAGGATTCCTGAATTTGAGATTAATGAAGTAAATTATAATAGAACCAACTCAAAGAAATATTAGTCATTAAAAATAGGGGTTAAGCTGTCTGGGTAGCACAGACTCCAGATAAGTGTTAGTTCTCCAAGGGTAGTAGGCAGGGAAATTAACCTACTAAAGATATAAGCCTAATAAACTGGAGGAAAATATTTTAACCATATGATAATCAGTTCACATTGTAATGGAAAGCTCTTACAAATGAAAACGAAAAGATGGACACCCAAAGGAAAAATGGGTAATAGGCATTTCACAAAGATACATAATAATGGCCAATAAGCCTTCCCAATATAAATTTAAACTAAAATATTTATTTTTGATCTTCGGATTAGCAAAGACTCTTGAAAGTGCATAACTTTTCACACAGCAATTACACATGTAGATTATCCTAAGAAAACTGGGCAAATATAGAGAAATACTAAGAAAGTCAATACAGTTTTATTTTTAATAATGAAAAAGTAGAACAAAAATCTTAAGAATCCAGGGCCTCCCCTGGTGGCGCAGCAGTTGAGCGCTGGGCTGCGAGCGCAGCCTCTGCGACGCCGGTTCATTCCCCGGCCACCAGCGAGGGTCCCGCAAAAAAAAAAAAAAAAAATCTTAAGAATCCAATAATCCAATTTTGCATCATTTAAAAATATTTAGACCTATATTAAACATAGAAAGATACTTATAGTAGGTTACAGAAAGCAGGTTTTAAAAAGTAGGCTAAAAACACACGTATCATATGATTCATTCTCTGTTAGATATATTTGTGTATGTGTGTATTCATACATAATACTCTCTCTCCCATACTAGTACTAACCAAGTCTGGCTCTACTTAGTATATGACACCAGATGAGATTGGGCACACTCAGGGTGGGGTGTCTAGAGTGACTGAACTGTCTAGAATAACAGTGTGTTAAGTCTATCTACATAGAAAAGAAAAGTCACAGTATTAAACATACCAGAAAAATAAAAGATAAATTAATCAACTCAAAAGGAACAAAAAAAAAAAAACAAAGGAATTCCAAAGAAAGATTTATAGAGGTTTTAAAAAAAGACTGAATTGACAAAAGACTAATTCTTCTATTAATTTTTACTTACCAACCCAAACCAAATCTAGAATAAACTAACACCAAACTTAGCATGACCAAAGATCAGAGTGAAAAACACCAAAAAAGCAATACTTTAGGGTCTCCCTGGTGGCGCAAGGGGTTAAGACGCAACCTATGAAGCTTCTGCAGCCACTGCAACATGAGTTCAATCCCCGAGCAGGGAGCTACCCACATGACGGAGCAGACCTCTCCTGATTCACCCGCTGCTCTCCTCAGCAGTGTATTTCAGTCAATCTGCCTGTTCTGTGCCCCACTCTGTCTCTGGTGAATCCTCTCACCCCCCCATGCCTCTGGCCTGTACCCCAGTTCTTGTATACATAAATATTTTTTCAAAAAAGCAATACTTTATAAGATAAAATAGAACTTTTAAAGCACTACTTGAATCGTTTTTAAGTATTAGCTTTGAGCGTTAGCTGTTAGCAGGAGCCCAAAGGCTATTTGAGTGTCCTCTGACATAGCAGCTAACTTCTCCTCAAGTAGCAATAAAATAGAGAAAGAAAGGAAGAAGTCACAAGGCCTTCTATGACCCTATCTTGAAAGTAACATGACTTCTATCACCATTCATTCATTCGAGGTCAGTCAGCCTATACTAAGAGGAAGGAAATTCGACAGCTTTGAAGGAAGGAATACAAATATATATGGATATATTTCAAAACTATTATGGGTATCAAAAAAAAAAAGTTAATGTGATCTGATACTGAAACTGAACAACCCTGAGCTAGTAGCTCACATGTTTCCCAACAGATATTGTCTTGCTGTTCCTCTTGAAAATTTAAAATATCATGCAGATGTCTTGTAAGTTTGCTATAGTACCTTAGTGTGCCTCAGCAAAATATCTGGGAACCTATGCTCTTTCCACTGCACTGTGCAACCACCCCAAGTTGCTTCAATGGATAACTTTTCTAACCAGACTGAACAAAAGGGAAGAAGGAAGTTTTTGGGTTTTGGAACGCCTAAAAAGAACCCAAGACACACTCCAAGACAGCTGAATGACTCGCCATAAACTTATGCCAGGGAACCATAAAGAGAAAGCAAACAAGAAATTAGCTTCAAACAGGCCATTCTAACATATTGGAACATCTCATAGTGTCTGCTGATCTGACTAAAGTAGAATAGAGGGCTATAGTACAAATCACTTTGCCCGAAACAAACTTCATGTTATCTGTTCTCTATCGGTATCTGCCTCAGTGCCCAAATTTCCCCTTCTTGCAAGATACTATTCACATAAGACTAGAGCTCCAACATGACCTCACTTTACCTCTGTAAAGACCCTATCTTGAAACAAAGTCACATTTTGAGGTACTGGGGATTGGGATTTCAACATATGAATTTGGAGTCAGACGCGCTACCGTTGCGCCACGAGGTCCTTCAACATATGAATTTGGAGGTTGGGGCACATACTTTTTTTTTTTTTAAGATTTATTTATTTATACAAGCACTGGGTACAGTCAGAAGCGCGGGAGGGTGAGAGAATTCACCAGAGCCAGAGCAGGGAGCAGAACAGGCAGACTGACGAAATACACTGCTGAGGGGAACAGCAGGTGCGGCAGGAAAGGTCTGTGTGCCATGTGAGACCCTCGCCAGCGGCTGGGGATCGAACCAGCGCTGCAGAGGCTGTGGGCAGCTTTGCAGGCCAGCGCTCAACTGCTGCGCCACCAGGGGAGGCCCTGGGCACAAAATTTTTTAAGATTTATTTATTTATACAAGAGCTGGGGTACAAGACAGAGGCGCGGGAGGGTGAGAGGACTCACCAGAGACAGAGCGGGGAGCAGAACAGGCAGAGACTGAAAACATTGCTGACAGGAGCAACAGGAGAGACAGGAGAGGTCTGCCGCACCATGTGGGTATCTCCCTGGCTGGCCGGGAATTGAACCCACACTGCAGAGGCTGCGGACAGCTTCACAAAGCCGTGCTCAACTCACTGCGCCACCAGGGAGGCCCTAGGTACATAATTTAACCAGTAACTAACTCTCTGGTGGGTATGTACTGTTTCCTCTGGCTGATGGGAAGATGAGGTCTTATTATTTATTGAGCCCAGCTAACTTTCACTTTCTAACCTTATCCCCAAGGAATTTCCCTTGAAATTATCTCCTTTTCTCCCAATGTGGTTAGAATCCTGAGGGTAGTGGAAGCATCCTACAGCAGGTGGCCATGATGGCAGCTGGAGATGGGAATGTGATTACAGGATAACAGGCAGCAACTTGAGTCCAGGCCAAAGGGACCCAAAGTCCAGTGCCACTCTCAGGATCTCTATGGCAGGCCTGCTGCTCTGTTTCTCCAAGGAAGTATAGAACCTTTAAGCAGAAAAAAAAAAACATTGTTTCACTCAGCCTCTTTTTTTCTGCTTGTGGACTTCTAATTCCAGGTTCATATTGTTGCCTTTGGAGAAATAGAAAACTGAGGGTCTAAAAAAGAATAAGCTGTGAACCTCCATTGGTCTTCTATAACAAACACCATGACTGAATAGCTTAAACAACAGAAATTAATTTTCTCACATTTCTAGAAGATATAAGTCTAAGATCTAGGTTCCCTCAAAGTTGTTTGCTGGTGTGTATCTTCTTGGTTTGTAGATGGCTGCTTTCTTGCTATGTTCTTGCATGGCCAAGACCAGTCAAAGGAAGAGATATATGACGGGTGGTCTGAGAAGGTCCCAGATACACAGTTTCTGTGTCCTCACCCTCCAGCACATCAATGGGCTCTCTAACATGGGATGTTCCTCTGAACTTCAGCATCCACAGTTTTCACTGGATTCTATTACATAGGCACGACTAATTGAATCACATTGATTAAACTTCATTCCCAGCCCTTTCTAACACTCCAGGTCGGGCTGATTGTCACCTGGCTCAAAGCCCCAATCCTCTAATTACATGCTTGATCTTAATTCATGGCCAAAAGTCATCTATTTAAGAATATAAATTTCATGCAAACAGGAATTTAATTTTACTCACTGATCTATCTCCAGAACCTTGAAAAATGCCTGTGACTCAAATTGTTTTATATATGAAATAATTTTGAAGAAAACATCACTTAGTGATTTAAATGATTTTATCAAGTGTATTAGTGTGGAAAAAGTCAAACCATTGAAAACATACCTTTTATGCTATTTATACATTTGTTTACAAGAGTCTATTTCCAATATCCCTCAAACTCCTGGGCCAGCCACAGTGTTATACATAAAACTATGCTGTCTGGATTACCTGACAGAAGTTAGATAATGAGGTTTAAAAAAAAAAAAAAAGTAAGACTATTTTATAGTTCAGCTGCCTAACTGCTTTCTAAAACTGTTATGCTCATTTATGTGACTAACAATAAGATTACCGGTTTCATGAACCTTACAACTACTGGGATCATGAATTTTTGATAATGTAGATATCGAAAGATGGTACATTGTTCTAAACATTTTTCTAACACAGCTGAATATTTTCCTTCATTTATAATATCTCTCCTAGCCTTTGCAAACTATCTGCTCATATAATTAGCACTGGCGCTCATATAATTAGTATGGTGAAGACACCATACAATCTGATGAGTTTTAAAAGTTATCCATTGTTCTGGTATCAAAGATATATGACTTCAGAAAAAAGTTCTGCCCAGATTTCAACAGACAGACAGGCACCCTTCTAGAAACACTGTTTACCAAGTAGATGTCTTAGTAATAGGAATGAAAGCATATGTGCATGTGTATGAATGTGCATGCTTACATGCTTACAACTCTGAATTATAAACCTCAAATTAAATTCTAGAAATGCTTATAAAGGGACAGAGTTCACTCACAGTAGCAAATCATTAGACATCTGCTTCCCTAAATCCATGAGAAAAATGCCTACTTAACCTTTGCAACACTGCTCAGGTGGTAACTACTGTTGACATTTTTCTTATTAGCCTAATTTAGTCTCCTCCATACCTCCTACATATGTATTAGACCTATTAGGCTATTTTTTCCAACAGAGTATGAGCTCTGTGTGGCAAGAACTATGTTATCACCATTTCAGTATTCCTACACTGCATGTGGCAAATAGAACAGTACCTTTAGAATTGGCAAGCCTTTTGAACAAAGACAACTCAGCAAAATTTTCACACAGCCTATCAGTAGTCTTCTTATTACATGTTATATATAATTCATGACCATTAACAAAATTAAGTTTAAAGTTTGTTTTTCTAAAAAACAGTAGTTCAGCAAGTACTAAATGAAAATGCAACTTTGAAGCCAATTTTGAAAATGTTTCTTAAATCTACTTACCACCACTTATTCCCAAACTCTACATAACATATTGTGACATAAATAATAACATTAAATAATTCAATGCCCCTATTCAAATTCTGAATACTGATGATCATTCTTTATATTCAAGAAATAATATTCTTAGTCTTTGGAGTAACTTACTTCTGAATTCAGTTCTTACAGACCAGGCAGTTCTAAGTTTTTGTTTTTGTTTTTTCAAGATTGATTTATTTATTTATACAAGCACTGGGTACAGTCAGAAGCGAGGGAGGGTGAGAGGATTCACCAGAGCCAGAGCGGGGAACAGAACAGGCAGATTGACGAAATACAATGCTGAGGGGAGCAGTGGGAGAGGCAGGAGAGGTCTGTGCACCATGTGGGACCGTCGCTGGCGGCCGGGGATTGAACTGGCGCTGCAGAGGCTGCGGACAGCTTCGCAGCCCAGCGCTTAACTGTTGCACCACCAGGGGAGGCCCAGTTCTAAGTACTTTTAAGAGGACATTTTTTTGGAGTGGAAAAAATTATTTTCTATACATATTCCATATTTACAACATATTATTATATTCCTAGACAGAAATATATTTACTTATAAGGTTAAAAACATTGTAAATACTGAAATAATTATGATTTATTAGCCAGGTATTAAACAGAAGTATCCACAAAATACAACCTACTAATGCATTCATTATTTAATCAATGATGACCATCAACTGATAAGAAAAGTACCCTATTTTCATTAAGCCACAAAAATTTCGTAATAACACACCATAACCTTTGCCAAGAATTTTTTGCTGGCAGTTTTGAGTCCCAACTGGTCAGAGGCTCACCTGACAGGTCCAGCTCCTCAGTGGAAGACAAACTGGCCAGACTCCAGCTGTCACTGCGGGCTGCCAGGACAAACTTGTGAGCACTGATGTATTTGCTCCCAACCTTTATCTTCAGATCACTGATAAAGAAAAATATTCACAAATGTAAAAAGGAAAATATTATAACTACATCATAACTAGGTATCGCTAGGATTCACGGCTGATCAATACATGGATACTGATTGAACATGCATCAGCAAAAGAAAAAGCAAAATCATTTCTCTATTCTAGCACTGAATTCTGATAGGTAATGTTTATGAGATATTGTTAGAAATGTTTTCTATTCTCATCTTCTGCCTGTAGTTCAAATGGGATGGTCTGCTTCCAAAGACATCTCCTAATGGGATTCTTATGGTAATGAACCTACAAGTTAAATAGGATTAATATTCCTATAAAAAGTAGAAGTTTCATGCTGAATAAATCATCAAGAGAAGAAGATAGCTTAAAGATTATGATGACAATTCTACAACTACTATACTCTTATGTTCCACACCATATAAATTTTTTTTAAAGATTTTATTTATTTATGTATACAGAACTGGGGTATAGGCCAGAGGCATGGGGGCATGAAAGTATTCACCAGAGACAGACTGGGGAGCAGAAGAGGCAGAATGACTGAAATACACTGCTGAGGGGAGCAGTGGGTGAGTCAGGAGAGGTCTGCTGTGCATGTGGGTCACGTCCCTGGCCGGGGATTGAACTTGTGCTGTAGGGGCTGCAGATAGCTTCATAGGCTGCGTCTTAACCCCTTGCGCCACCAGGGAGGCCCCCACATCATATAAATTTTGAAGCAAAGTTACTCAGAAAAATTATGAACAGATTAACTTTGCAAAGCAATCAAGAAAATGAAATCCAAGATAACAGACACCTGTTCTCACCGGAAACATTGAGAGCTACTACTGGCCATCTTTTTACTCAGCCATTCATAAAGAAATGGTATAGGAAAAATCTTTCCTCTTCCCCAAACATGTCCATTTTTATGACATACCATTATTTGAAGAGTTTTCCAAATAGTTATTTATGTTAACTCTTAAATTTCAATGCTACAGGAGAAAAGCATCTGGAGAGATGCCAAAATTCTAAGGATAACCCACCAGCATGATATAACCCATGTACCATATGGCTATAGGTTGGCAGCAATCCAAAGTCATTATTTATTAGTACCCTACCTGTACTTATGCTTTTTTCTCATTCCCCCCTTTAAAATAATTTGTACGGTTAGAATGTCTTTAAAAATTAAATGCACAAAAACTATTACATGAAGGAAATAAAAGAAACTACAAAATGAATTAACTTATCCACTAAAAAATAGACTTAAACAGAATACTGCTTTTATGTAATGTGTGATACACATTCTAGCCATAAGAGCATTATCTAGGGCCTCCCAGGTGGCGCAGCGGTTGAGCGCTGGGTTGCGAAGCTGCCCGCAGCCTCTGCAGCGCTGGTTCGATCCCGTCCAGCTGGCGAGGGTCCCACATGGCACAGCAAACCTCTCCTGCCTCACCCGCTGCTCCCCTCAGCAGTGTATTTCTTCAGTCTGCCTGTTCTGTTCCCTGCTCTGTCTCTGGTGTATCCTCTCACCCTCCCACGCATCTGGCCTGTACCCCGGTTCTTGTATAAAATGAATGGATAAATCTTCAAAAAAAAAAAAAGTCACAAATCTTATCATATGATAAAGTTTAAAAATTTTAATGACATCAGGAAGTTGGCTATTTAGAAAGCACAAATGATTTTTGAACTCTAAGTTTACTTAGGAAGAGTGAAATTCTTATAAATGAATTTTCCCCAGTCACAAATCTGACTTTTAACCACAAAATGATAAAAATGAATGTTTCTATAAAAGTACTACTATTCATAAATGTCAGGTCAAAAATTTTTCTCTTTTGTAGTTTAACATAGCAAATAGAAGATGAGAATTTTATTAAGAATTTCTAATAATAGACATAAAAAATGTTATTCAATACTGAAAAATTAGACAAGTCAAATCTATGACGACTCTGGAAACAAGAAGCTAGTAATATTTCCAAAATTTCATTCTAGTCATTTAAAGAATATTTCCTTTTAAAATACAGATACCAGAATGTTGTTATTAGAGAAGAAACATTGTTTCTTGCTAGTTTCTTTTTTTTTTTTTTTTAAAGATTTATTTATACATACAAGAACTTGGGCACAGGCCAGAGCTGTGACGGGTGAGAGGATTCACCAGAGACAGAGAGGGGAACAGAACAGGCAGACTGACTGAAATACACTGCTGAGGGGAGCAGCAGGTGAGTCAGGAGAGGTCTGCAACACCATGTGGGCAGCTCTCTGGCCAGGGATGGAACTCATGCTGCAGTGGCTGTAGCTAGCTTCATAGGTTGCATCTAAACCCTTTGCACCACCAGGGAGGTCCTCTTGCTAGTTTCTTAATCAAACACTTTAAAAGGAAAAATTATAAGCTTGTATGCTAAAAGAAGGAATGTAGTAGATAACTATATATAACTATTTTTAACTATCTTGTGGGACAAAAGCCTTCTGAAATGTACAAAAATCTTCCGCATTTCGTTTCTCAATTTGAGTATCTGAACACCAGCTTATCAGTTATGGCAATCACTGAGAAGTACATACAAATGTTATTTAAGTTCTTTTTTTTAAACTGTTTTTTTTTTTTTTTAAATTTATTCATACATACATTTATTCATAGAAGAACAGGGTACAGGCCAAATGTGTGGGAGGGTGAGAGGATTCACCAGAGATAGAACAGGGAATAGAACAGGTAGACTGACTGAAATACACTGCCGACAGGAGCAGCGGGTGCGACAGGAGAGGTCTGCTGCACCATGTGGGATTCTCGCCGGCCGGCCGGGATCAAACCTGCACTGCAGAGGCTGCGGACAGCTTCACAGCGCTGTGCTCAACCGCCTGTGCCACCAGGGAGGCCCTTAAGTTCTTTAATAAAATGTATGTTTATGGGGCAAAGGTAATATTTTCCCTCATCTTGGCAAAAGAGCATTTGCTTTAGGAAATGACTTTCAGTTTCAGTTATTCCATCTCAAAAGCTCAGTCCTCTAAGAAGGCACCGATCTCAGGCGTGCCCCACCTGATACTCAATTGTAGATAACACAGGTATTTACTCACCCTTAAAGGACAGGTTTTAGAAGATGAAGAGAGAACTAGTAGAACCATGAGGTCATAGGACAGCTGACTAGGTAAAAGGGCCAGAAGGGGAAAATGCCCAATCTCACTCCCATTGTTTCCTAGAAGGACTGCAGTATAATAAGTAATTGAAAAAGTAAAAGATGGCAGTTCTAATGGGGAAGAGCCTGGGGGAGTGGGAGAGATGGATCTATAACATGTCAGGTTTCCCTGGCTAATACAAACAAAATTTTCACTTGTCCATACAAAAAAAAAAAAGAGAAAAGAACTATACTTCACATATAGCTACAGGTATTTAATTAAAAGTTACCCTTTACTCCTATTTTTTAGGTATTAAAATTGTCTAGTCTTTAGATATTAAGATGATCATTCTGATTTTGATCTATTTTAAACATTAAAATTTATCCTGAAATTTTTAAAAGTTTTATCTAGTCCAATCATTCATCTCCTGAGTAGTCAAGTCCTTCATTCTAAGAATATTCATGTCCATGTTTCTTTTCCACATGTGCTACAATCACAGCAATTCAGTTTTTTATCATTTCTGGTCTGGACTGTTTACAACAAAATCACAGCAGTTCTTCTACTCTCTTCTTTTTATAATTTCACAGATATGTTAACTAGTTAATCTTCCTTTAAAAACACCACTTTGATGATGACAATTCAAAACACTAAACTCAAAACCATTCTGGTCCATATTTCCTAGAGGATCAAGTCCATCCTAACTTTCCCACCATGCCTAACTTTCCCTACATGGCCATGAATCTAAAATGGTCCCTTCACTGTCCTCTAAATCCTCTGCATGGTTCGTTTCAGCCTGTTCTCAGCCACTCCCCCTTCTAGTAACATCAGTGTCTTTGTTAAATCCTACCCAGCCTTTATACTTACCTCAAAATTTACTTACTAACAACAGCTAATAACTAAGCACTTACTATGTGCCAGATACTGTTCTAACTGCTTAAAACATGTATTTATTAATTTAATTCCCACATTAGCCCTAAGGAAAGTAGTAGTACTATGACTCCTGTTTTATAGATTAGGAATTAAAAGAGTTACCCTTTACTCAGTACTGTTTCCTATTCTGTAGGTATTAAAGGGAGGGAGATCATGTAACTCCAGGTCATAGAGCCCGTAAGTAACCAACTGAGCTTCAAATACTGGCTGTGTGGCTCCAAAGTCCAAGATTAATCATTACGTTGTACTGCCCACAAGTTCTAAGATCCCTTTGACTATCCCAAAGGAAAATAATCTCTCACCTCTGAATTACTGCACATATAAACTAATTCCTGTCTACAAAAGCTATGTATCATCATGATATACACATTCTGTGTTGAAGAAAAGCAAGAACATGAGATGAGATCTTGCCTCAAGAAGCACATACTTTAGAGACTAACGGTTTGCTAATATACGGATTAATAAGAAACAAACCTGGAAAAAGAGTCAGTAAGAGAAGAGGCAATGTGGCCTGCGAATAAAGAAAAATGATTTGCTTCTCAAACCGGTTGTACCTAGAAGCTCACCTATACTGCTCCTGCTCATAGAGGTCAGCCACAATCGTCAGCAGGCGGCTGATGAAGGACTCGTTGCTGTTTTCCTTGTTTGCTTGTGCAGCCAAAAGAGTGCATCTCTTCTCTGTCTCCGCCAATTTCTTCTGCAGCTTGACATACTCTTGTCGGAGAAGCATCAAGTGCTTCTCCAATTTGGCCACCTCCTCTGCAAGGAAAACAGAGAGAATCAAGTTTACCATGGCAGGTGGAAAGCGGACAGCATTCACTATTCTCTCACCCCGCAGACAGGATGGCAACCAAAATGACTAGTCACATGACTAATTCTATTTCCTAGTTATACTCTCATAGAACCAAGAATGGTTTTGCTGATTTTGGCATCTGGGATGCCACTAGGTCACTAGGCCAAAAAGATCAATATGGTCCAGGCTTCCTTGAAGCTTAATAGTCAACATGACAATGAACAGATGTACATAAACTGCTGACAGGACTTGTCCTGCAAATCCTTTACTGTAAAGGCAGGAGGTCTCAAAGAAAGAAGAATATCAGAATACCTCCTAAGAGGCTTTTTGAAACCACTAGTAGTACTATATTTCATATGCCACCTGCTGTCCTTAAAGTTTTACATGAAATCTCTCATGCATTCTTCATGACAACCCATGAAATGGGTACTATACTACATACTTTACAGATGAGGACAATGGGACAGAAAGATTAAGAATTTGCCCAAAGTTATGCTGCTGGTAAGAGATGCAGCTTGAAAATAAAACAACAGGCAGGGCCTCCTTGGTGGCACAGGGGTTAAGTCTCAGCACTATCAAGCTACTGGCAGCCACTGCAGCCTGAGTTCAATTCCGGCCAGAGGGCTAACCTAGGGCACAGCAGACCTCTCCTGTCTGGCCCACTGCTCCCCTCAGCAGTGTATTTCAGTAGATCTGCCTGTTCTGCTCCCCACTTTGTCACTGGTGAATCCTCACCCCGCCCCCATCTCTGGCCTGCACCCCAGCTCTTGTATGCATAAATTAAACTAAAAAAACAGCAGGCAGTCTCATTTTCAAGTCTGTGATCTTAAACCACTACCCAACACTCCTGCAGAAAAGGGACAAGGCAGTAGAAGGAAGCAAGTCATAACCACAGATGTGCTGGGGCAGATTAAATAGGTTGAGAATCACTGAATTTGATTCACTAAATTTAACAAACATTTACCTAATGTTTTTAGGTGCCAGACACTGCACTTTTTTCTCCTCTTCTAGAGGATCTATATTAAATAAGTGCCGGGAGTCAAAAAACTGTCTCAGGTGTAAATCTGTATTACTGAGAAAATTAAGTAGAAAAGTACTTGACAAGATGAAAATTTGCTTACAGCTGCCAAACTGATGGCTGTGCTTATGAGTTACACATCTGATGAGAATTGCTATAATCAGTGTTTTTCAAAATATTACAATTATTGTTTCACTGATATTTAAACCAAATAATGCTTTAAAAAAATTGGTTAAAGGAAAAAAGTATTAAAAAGTAATAATACCTGATATTATTAAAACCTCATAATTTTTTTACTATTTTAAAAATCCCACGAGTAGCATCTACAATTTATAGCTCTGTGCTTTTATTCTAGTGTGACACATTTACAGAGGCCAATGGTTTGAGAGTTCTTCACAGTGATACAATAATATACCTTGATGGGAAAATATTTAACACAAAAAAATAAGTTCATACGATGCACAAAAATTTTTTTTTTTTTTTCTGTAGAGAAAGAAATGAAAGAGCCTCATTAAAGAAAAATTGGCACTAAATTCTAGGTATGGTAACAAAAGATGTAAGTGGACATACAAGTAATAGTATCAAATTTTGTTCAAAAACTGCCATCAATTGTAACAAAAATTAATCTAGGATGTCAGAAGTCATTATAATGGTTATCTTTGGAGGAATGACAATAATCTTTATTTAATTTAGTTATGCATTTGGTTTTGATGATTTGAATTCTACACATATTTGCTTTTTTCTGCATGTATCTTATACTTCAGTTTTAAAGTTTTTAAAAATTGATATATACTGTTAGTGGGTTCTAGAGTCAAAATGAGCTACTTGTAATACTGAGTCACATCGTAATGCAAATCTGCATTGACAGTTCCCCCAAAGCAAAAGGCAAAGCTAAACAAGCTTTCAAAATCACTATTATTCATTTGGAAGAGGTAAAAGTAAGGCTATCCTTTAAAAAAAATGTTAAAGAGGTCTCCAAATCCACCATAGTAAAAAGACTTTTAGTTAAAGTGTACAGTAATCAATGTAGAAATGGTAGTATAAGCATTATCACACAGAAGTAGAAAACAATAAAAAGTAGTCTAGGGAATGGGATTGAGGGATTGCAAAATTAATTTTTGTTACAGTAGTAGTAGTAGTAGTAGTAGTAGTAGTAGTAGTAGTAGTAGTGTTTAAATCTTAAATCTATGTGCACTTATAAGGCAAATACCTGAACATTTGAACTGCAGTTCTGGGTTCACTTAAGTGCAGATTTTTTTCAATAAATTTATTGGGAAAAATTTTGGAGACAAATTGAAAAAACTTGCAAATGAACCATATATGTGTGTGTGTGTATATATATATATATATATAAATATATATATGTGTGTGTATATATATAAGGTTAGGTATATCATGAATGCATAAAACATGTAGAAAATAGTCTAATTTCTCATTTGCTATCTTATAAAAGTACATAAAATTCTATTATCAAAAGTTAAAATTTATATTTGCACGCACTCAAGAGTCAAGACAAATGTAAAGATTCAATTTAAATCATAACTGCATAAAATAACCATTGCATACTGTACTATTGCAGTAATCTTCTAGCCAGCTCCTTTTGCAATTGCAGTGAGCCAAGTATTGCAAGTATCAGCTTAAAACACTGTGACACTAATGGCAAAGAGCAGTTCCTCACTTTCTTACAAAATTTTCATCATGTTTGGCATATTTATAAAAAATACATACAACATACAAAATGTGTACTAATTAACTCTTATTATCAGGCTACCAGTAAAGTTGTAAGCAAATCAGAAGCTATACATGGATTTTTGATTGTATAGGCGATCAGTGTCCTTAACTTGGCATTTTTTAAAGGTCAAGTGTATGTTATTCTATATAAACTTTAAAGATATGGAAAACATTTAGAATTGTGTGGAAAATAATTTTATAATATCTAAATATAAGGTGTTTTTTTTTTTTTTAACACAAAACTTTGAGGAAGGGAAAGAGCCCAAAAGACCGTCTCTAGTAGCTCAACAATGAACCTGAGGAGCAAAAATAGGACAAGCACAGGCTGGCAGTCTGTCCAACTCACCTTTCAAACCATGCTCACCAGCTGAGGATGACATTATTCCCCAAGTGGCAGCATAAAAATCATTTAGGCAATAAACTACAGAGAGAAAACCAAGTCTGAACAGATCTGTGGTGGGGTCAGGAAAAGTATACTTTTAAAACAACCTGTTTACTTTCAAGAACAGGTATGGGAATGACCATCCTAGAGAAAAAGTCCTCATACATAGACTATTCTGGGAATAGTACTGTTTAGACAGAAGACCAAGTGAACTGAAATTTTTTTTCATTGATTTGACCAAAGATTTTTATCTTATCAGTAGATAATTGCACAATCTAGACACTCATTAAAAATGTATTAAGCACTTATGCAGTGCCAGTGTAAAAGTAAAGAAAACCATCTTGGCACATGTTTTCACAAAGTTACAAGGTAATAGAGAAGTCAAGCACTTAAACCAATTCAATAAAATCTGATAGGCTCTGACAGGAGATACAAACAGAACATGAAAGTAGACCACCTGGCTTAGGCTAGCACAAAACAGACATACCAGGAAAGGGTTTTACTTCCAAAGATTTAAATAAAACCTGTGTTTGTAGCATACTGAGCCCACAAAATAGAAGGAAAATGCTTCAGTCTTTTAAGCTCTGGGTCAGCAGTTTTATAGAACAGATATAGTACTTGGCTCTATGAGAAATACAAACAATTTAAAGGCTAAGCCTATCCTAGTACTCCTGATTAAAAAGCCCTGCCACTCACCAGCTCAAATCAACTGAAAAGGAAGACGAGAAGATGGCCTCATCTTCCTAAATTCAACCTGCTGGTTACTGATACATTCCACTGGCACAAGACAGCTTCCAAGTCTTCATTGGGGAGTATGTGGCTGTAGATTGTAGAGATTATCCGTCCACAAGACCAACTTTAATCTTTTTTTTTAAAGATTTATTTATTTATGCATACAAGAGCAGGGGTACAGGCCAAAGGTGTGGGGGGAAGGGGTTGAGAGGATTCACTAGAGACAGAGTGAGGAACAGAACAGGCAGATTGACAGAAGTACAATGCTGAGGGGGGCAGCGGGCATGGGTTGCTCTGTGGCTGGCCAGGGATCAAACTCATGCTTCAGAGGCTGCCAAAAGCTTCACAGGCTGCGTCTTAACCCCTTGCGCCACCAGGGAGGCCCCCAACTTTAATCTTCAACCTTGGTTTTAATCACAGCATATTCTAGTCAACCTAGTATTTTTGCTCCTTGAGAATTCAACCCACCAAGATAAGAGGTCAGTAAATAATTCCATGTTTTCATTTCACTTAAGCTGTCTATCTGTAAGCACATATGAAGTACCTACTATGCATCTAAGCATTTTGGAAAGTTAGGAGTTGCCACTATGAGTTTTATTTAAAAAGCAGTCTAACTTACTTGCATTTCTTCCAAAGTATATAATGTAGCACTAAAGCAACATCAAATGTAGACCGAGAATTGTATCTCCATGGAATGCACATTTAAAATAAAGCTAATGGTCACAAAGAATCTGGATACTGATTTTCGTGACAAAATTATGAGGACATTAGCCATCAACTCTCTCTTTAGTAAAGAATTGCTGATTTTTTTTTTTAATCTAACCCTTAAAATAAGGGAAAGTATACTCTTAAAATAGCCCTAGTTATGGGAATGACTGCTCTGAAGTAAAGCCCAGCCCTAAATCACACACTGAAAGTTCTGTTCAATTACATTCTCAAGTAAATTTCCATAGATATCAGTTGAACACTCATAATTCTAAAATCTATAGCAATGGCCCAATCTCTCCATAATGCCAAACACAAATTTTTAGCTATAGCCTGGACAATGACACATGACATAAACCACAAAGGTTATGATCCAAGAAAAGGTAAGAGAAAAAAGC